TGTCTCTGAACGCTAGGCCTACGCTCCCTTGTTCAAAACAAAGGAAGATCATATGTACAGTGCTTCTATTTCCTCGTCTCATTTTCCATACACACTGTGATGACATTAAATTCATACGAGAGAGGTATTGGGAATCTTATAGGGAAGATAGCAATATGACTCCGTAAGGAATGCCCGAGGTCCTGAAACCGCGGGAGTAAGTGAGATGGACAGGAAGTAAAATATGAAGGGCATTACGTAAGGGGAGAAGAAGACACCTTTCACTCTTGGAAGGATTATGGACGTCAACTTCGGTCCTGTAACTGCATTTTTAAGATAATGAACAGTAGAAGGAATGACCTACGTCGAGAAAGATTTGTAGGCCGCACTTTTAAACCTATACGCTTGGTCAGCCTTAAAATTAGGTGTATATAAACCACAGCTGCAGCTCTTCCCTCGTCCCTTCGGGGACATCCGTTAAAATTGGAACGATACAGAGAAGATTAGCATGGCCCCTGCGCAAGGATGACACGCACAAATCGAGAAATGGTCCAAATTTTTTTCGATGCTTTTTTTCATGGATTTTTGCGTAACAAAGTGGTATAAACACTTGTTGCCGCTTGCTTCATCGCCCAAATCAAGCAGAAAACAACCCTATCAATCGATACTGATTGAAGGGGTTCTTAATAATGGTCGTATGAAGTGTGTAACATGTGGATCAAATTCATCATTTAATGAGTACATGGGAATAAAATTTTTGAAATTGTACTTCGAATACAAGTTGTAAGCATTTAATAAGTATATAAACATAGAATCAATTCAAAATTATATCATCAAGTTTTTTAATTTTTTTTCTTCATGTCATGCTTTGAGTAAAAATTATATAGATCATTGAATAAGCAAATTAAATTAACTTCAATGTTTTGCTTTTTGCACTTCATCTCACCAAAAGTAGATGAATTACGATTATATTATGCATATTCATATCATGTGTCATTGAAAAAAAATTAGAAGAATGTGCCAATAAGATCTAAGAATTTGAGGAGAATTTTCTAAATTTGAACACAAGTACACATACCAATATCAAGTGTAATGATCCACGAGTAGTACATTTGGAGCTATGTAATCTTGAATAATTTGAATAATGAGAATGATTCAACTAAATTATAAGACCACGAACTTCATTTGAATGATGATATGACATGACTATGATCTTGGCAACAATTCTTGGAAGAAGATGAATTATTTTATTACAATAGATTCAAGCTTTGTTATATACATTCGAGTGATATGCATCAAAATAGTAAAGGATATAAATGATGAACAACAATATGTGAAAGATGGTGATTTAAATAACGAATGAACAACTTATAGATATACAAATCAAGAAACAATTTTATTTATGAATTTTAAATGACATACAAAACCAGATTGAAAGTAAAATGAACAATTATTGTAGTTTACAATGTAATCTATTTTTAAATTGATACATGCAATAATAATCTCCTTATTCTTGTGTGTACTTGTGATTTGGTTGATCTTATTTTATAAAAAAAGATACACAAAATAAATAAAAGTTCTTGAATATACATTTAAAAGTCAATCACCGGATATTTAGTTTTTAATATCTTTATATTTTATGCAAATGATATGCTTTTTATTGCTAACAAAATTTAAATGTTAATATTTGAAGGATTTTTTACTTTTAAGTTTAAAATAAAAATCTTTATGCATTCAAAAGATTTAAATATGAACTTTGAAAGAAATTTGAAATATAAGAGAATATGATCAAAAAAAATAAAATATGCTAAAATGATAACTTTAATGCAATGGATAATTTAATGGAAAAAGTGAAGTATCTGAATATTCATTTAGTTCATGTGTTTGAGTTTTTATCAGCGTATTGTAAGATAAATGATAAAACCCTGGATCCTTCAATGTGAACTATCTCGAAAGATGAAAAGTTGTGGTGCTAGTCCATCTTACAACCGTTGGCTGAGGTTTCATGTTTATGATTATTTGCAATGACATTTATATCTTTTGGCCATAAAAAATAACATATGCATATTGAATCCAAATCTTTACATGTTTGAGAAATGAACTCTTGAGTTAGTTTTTATCTTTACTTTTTACCTTTAATTAGCATAGATATTAGCTTGATATAGATCAGAAAAATCTTTCACAAGTTTGAGATAAAAACCAAGAAGTTGTAATAAATTCTTAGTTTAGTTTCACACTAAAATATATTTCAATACTAAATAATTTTATTTTTTTCACTCATCGTCTCAATTTTTTCGTTTGTAATCTATGAATAAATGTATATAATTTTGACTGGGCAGATTTACATTTTGAAGCTTTGACGTATAATTCATTTCTTTGCAAAAATTTAAGTATTTATTGTTAATGATAGATGATGAAATTTGCTAAAATATCAAAAATTCATCGTGAAAAATTTTACATTATTATGTGGATAAAAACAAAATTATTGTTCATCAATTTCATAAATGTAACAAATACATGATTGAAATAAAAATGCATAACTAGATACAAAAATTAATCATGTATAGTAATAAGAATGATCTAGTGAATGTGTTCATCTGCAATTTAAATTTGATGATAGTTGCTACTCAAATCCAATTTGATGAAAATTTTAAATTTTTGAAGTTGATCAATCAAGTCATTCATATGAATTAAGTACACTTATTTTCCCCCATTTATAATTTTTTTCATTGGTTTTCAATACATGACCTCATCTTTTCATTTTTCTTCTTCACAAATAACACTTAAGCTTTGCAAAACAAATCGCTAGGTTGAATCAATCCTTTGTTCAACATCTATTTTATTTGAACTTTACATTTTTGCAATTAGGTTAGAGCTTTAAAATATGGAGCTTTGCACATTGATGTGTTTCCATGCATCATTTTGATCTTGTCATCCACATGTCTCCTTGATAATCTTAGATTTATATCATATGAAAAAAATAATTTGTTGTTCATAAAAATGTTGTTCAAGTATTACCAAATAAAAATATTTTTTGTGAAGCCAAAAATGTCTCATATATACTTCAAATATTATACACCATTCAAAAAATAATATGCTTTATTTATCACAAAAAGAGTTAAATTTCTATTTTGAAATCTACTTCTATCTTAAAAAATTCTTCAGCCACTTTATTTTCTCGTTTTTGTTTTTCAAAATTTTTTCCAAATTGAATTGCTTCATAATATAATCTTACATCAGGCTCATTGACTATTTTTCATTTTATTTTATTTTTTAATTTTTTTTGAAAAATTTATTTACGTAATGATTATAATATTTATGCATTAAGAAGATTATCTGAAGATGTGAAATCAAAATTATCATGACAATCAATTCAGTTTTACTTTTTATATGATAAATTTTATTTAAGACTGATCTCAATATCAATGTTGAACATTGTAATGCTTTTATACTATAAATGTTGAGTAAATGAATTTTAAACCTTTTTTATTCAAAAAATATTCGTTTAATTTGATTTGAAACATATATATTGTTTCATATATTTGTTTTGAATGAAATAAAAAGCAATTTTTCCTCTATGCTTTATAAATAATTGATAATTTATCATTTTTGAATATTCATAGTAATTTTACTGAAGATTTACTACGAGATAGTCATTTTAGATTTAACTATGTTTTTTACTTAAGTTTGATCCTTTATAACACTTTTTTTCAAAGATATGAAAAAAATAATATTTCTAAAAGAAATACTTGGGGTTTCAAATATAAATTTTCATGAAAGATATAAATTAAATTTGTTATAAAAAACATACATCATGAGATATATCATAAAAGAATTCATTCTTTACATGTTGTTTCATTTTTTATTCATTTATCATTAAATTACATAAAATTATACATGTCCATATATAGGTATAAAATTTTTAATTTTAAATAAATCAGTTAATTATTGAAATTAAAAATGAGGAAATTCGTTACAATACTTAAAAAATTGTTTAAATACTTTATAAATTGCAAACCTGTCATATTTGATATCATGACATGTGTATGAGATTAGAATGGTTAAATTTACATTTAGGATGAGTACGCTTTTGGTTAGTAAGATATATTTAATTAAAATTTTTAATCTTTAATATTTTTGATAATTTTACAAAGGAGCTCTTTTTGAATGGAAAAGAACATACATTTATTTCTTACGTTTTCTGATCAAGCAGTTTAAAAATTTAAAGGTAATATTTTGAAATATCTTGAGGCATGTTAGGTTGGGAATAATTGTCAGTATTGCATATTAGCATGTGCAAGGAATATGTGCATGACCCAATGATCGTGCTAAATGTCAATGTAAATATCTCCGTTGGAAATATATAATATATAGACACTATATATAAATATAAATATCATTCCAAAGGTGTTCACAAAAGATAGTGTACTTATCGACTTGGACTTTCGCTATCGGCTGTGTACTTTTGCATCCTTCTTGGGTTGGTATGTAAAATTTTACATGGCTTGGAAATTTCTCGTTCATTTTTTCATGATCAAATTATTACAAATTTTATGCATATTTTTCAAATTTCAGATTAATTCCATTTACAATATATTGGTGTGTTTTCATCTAATTAGTAAAGATTATCGTTCGATCTGGATGGTCTTCTTTTCAGTCCCTTACAAGACTTGAATATCAAAACTCCATGTGTTAGAGATTTCTCTGTCGCTTTTCGTTATCAAGTAGAATCCGTCAGAATTTTTTTTGAATTTATTAGTACTTCTACTAACTATCACTGTGACTGCTTGAATGGTTCCAACGTTGATCAAAATATACTTCTATTTAGATAGGAAGATTGCACGATGAATTTGGAGTATTCCCTCGCGACATCCAGCATGCTGGTGCATGGAACCTTGAACTGCACTCAAAGCACAGGCAGTGGTGCGTGGAGTATTGTTCAGGATAGAATAGCCGGACTTCGATGTTCTTCAAGCTGCAGTATATAAATCCTCAGACAGTCTCAAGGAGCCGGATTGCAGCGAGTGCGATAGCCGCGCGTGGTTTGGCCGGAGAGAAACAGCGTTCCAGTGCAGCTGACGAGTCATGCTCTATCCTAACGTGGCGCAACTCTGGAAGCAATCTCCACTCGTCTGACGTCAGCCCACCAGGTCAGACCAGCGTTCGTGTCCCGACAATACAGTAGCGAGGAAGCAGAAGTCACATGTCACCAAAGAACGTTGTCCATGTCGTCGTTGTGATGATGATGATTTAGTAGATCCTGCGCTCGCCCGATCCAGTCTGCGGAGGGACTCACTCGCAATCCCCACAATCGATGACAGCGTTGAAAATCGGTGGCTTCCTTACCGACCCCTCGCATTTTCAGCGATAATTGGAGCGCTGAAGAGAGCTGGCACCTGCTGGTAGTGAACTGACAGTGAAGCAAGCGAGTTTCTGTGTGGATTTGGCCTGATTGGATTTCCCGCAGTGGATTGACTAGGCGGGAAATCGAGTGAGTGAGAAAGGGAGAGAAGATGTGCCTCCCCTGCCTGCCCTTTTTCGATCGGCCGAATTACTACTATGAGCCGCCGCCGCGACCTCACTGCGACGAACCGGTGATTGGATTTCCGCAGCCGCAGTACTTTCCACACCACCACCATGACCTTCATCATCAGGCACCACCTCCCCCGATGTTCTACCCGCCGTGGGAGCCTCCCCACCACCACCACCACCATCATCATCACCACGAAGACGACCATCACCACGAGGTGTGCGAGCCTCCGCACTACGACGACCATCACCACCACCATCACTGTTAGGCAACCAAGCAAGCCAAGCGCCCGGAAGCTCAGATGGATTTCAGCAGGCGCAGGCAGATGCCGGTCGCCGATCATTGCAGTGGCAGGTGAATTGATTCTCTTTCACGTACCATCTCGTTTTCATTCCCATGAGTACACTTACTAATGACCATCCCATCATCGCATGTCGCTGGAGGTGCCAATTCTCCCGTAATGGTCGGGCTCCTACTCCTACCGTCATGATTTCCTGGGGAACGTCCGGACGCTGCTCCACTTGTCGAGCTGGTGCAGCAGACCGATCTGTGGACGTTGCATGGGAATGTTCTCAACACGTCGAGTCGTCAATTCTAACTCGAGAGCGCATGGATTGCTGCAGGTACAGCAGTGGCAACTCCATATAGATAGCAACGATGGCTTATGTGCACGACGGCGGCGGTGGCGATGGCATGAGATGAATCGATGAGCAAGACAAGGACCTTGCCCACCCACCAGTCCTTGAAAACAATTCGGCGATTCGGTACAACGACGAGCTCTCTGCGCAGGCGGGCAATGGATCGATCACTTCCGTCACAACCATCAATTACATCACGTTCGAGAAAAGCTGGTCCGACTTGAGCGAATGGACAAACTTGTTGCGCTGATTGCACCCGGCAGAGCGCAACGCAACGTGATCCTTCGGCCTGCAGCGCAACGTCCATCGGAGCTTGAAGAGTTTCACATTCGCAAGTGAAGATCGACCGCTTTACAAGCTCATCGGGAACGTCGAAGTGCTTCCTCGTACATAGTTTGACATGACTCATGGTTATTTGTTTGCTTAGCTTAGCGCTCCGCATGCAGAATAGCTCCGTCACCAAATTCGAACTCGGAATTGTCTGTAGATAGAAAGCGCTATTGATCTCCATCTTTCCATCGTATAACATCGGATGTCGAAACTGATGCATGCGCGCCATATGTAAATATATACATAAGAAGTAAAACCAGTTTGAAAGTAAAGCTAATGTTAAAGGGCTTTGTGTTTGTGTAGCACTCCACAAGCGAAGCAATTGGCCCAAGCGGTCCAAGCTTCCAGCATAGCCGAGCCTTCAATGGGCTGACTGACTGACTGGCGATTCGATGACCTTAGCAGCACTCACTCACTCACACACTTTTCCTCGAGAATTTACGATGGCTCGCACGGTGGATTAATGACTCAACGGAGCGACTGGATCGAGCACTCTCTTTCCTCCCTCCCTTCCTACCTGAAATTGATTGCCTTTGTGTGGCACAGAGTACCCTCTGAAAAAATGTCCCACATTTAGCAGGCACGATCCAGTCAACGCAAGCAAGGTTGTCTCGACTCTCCCACCGCACCGATCAGAGCCACAGTTGCTGTGCGCCGACGGCTTTAAAGCTCCCGTTGAATAATCATCGAAGATTATACTCCGAACGCACCCAGCAGAGAATGGTAAGCGCAATGTTACGTCACGATGTCGAGGTATTATAATGGCGGATTGAAGGTGTTGGAGGGCATTCACGAGGCTAACCTGACCGGTCAACACCGTTTCGTTGGGGCTCCTGCTCCTATGGCACGGTTCACGTCATTCATTCTGTGTAACTCCCCGCTGAAACTGAAATTCAATGCACGAGACGTGACCGTGGGCGATCGGCGCCATTGTACTTCCAGTCAAGAGTGAGTGGCATGCCGAATGTTGACGTCAGACAGAAAAATATCTCGTGGCTTTATTGCCCTTGTGCGCTGTGTCTCGTTCTCGAGCAGCTAGGAAAGTCCGTCAAGGCAAGCATCAGCTTTGTGCATCGAAAAAAGTTCGAGGGCTCGAACGGGTTTCATTAATGGATCGGATTGAATACTCGATCCAACACTCGAACGGCATGCCATTGACTCCTTCGACATCGAGCATAGAGTACACGCCGATGGTACGGCTTCCGGGTATCCGAATCGTGCTGCAAAAGCTTCGGGGGAGCAGAAAACCAGGATCGAGGTCTAGACCGCTTCTTCGAATCGCACACGCCACATATCCTCCAAGATTCGCGGGCTGCTTTAGCGTGAACTCGCTGGCAATTCTCGAACTCGTATCCTCGAACGCCTCGAAGAAGTCTCGCCGTCTGGACTCCGCACGCAGCTTTCAAAAGAAGCGGCGGTTCACGAAGAAAATCGGCAAGGACGTAGAGAGGATCCGAGTAGATGATGAACGGGAAATCACTCGAGATGGTGAACGCGCATACGCTTTAAATATTGAATGAAAAACGGAGACATGTAAGACTCCGGAGGAAAAAGCGTCGCGGAATCCAGGTCTGCTGGGAAAAACCAGGGCTTGATCCGGGACGACAGTTTGGAGGCGAAGAAGATGTGACCCAGAGCTCGTGTCCTCCTCCTGCTCCTGATCTCGTCGCCTGGCGGGACCTGCTGCTGCTGCTGTGACTGCCATGCATGAGCACCATAAGCAGGTCCGAGGGAGGTCCGAAGATTCGAAGGAATATCAGAATCTTGGAAGATTCGCTGGCTCGCCTTCCTTCCTTCCTTCCTTCCTTCCATGTGTGCTCTCTGACATGGCGATCGGCACCGGGGACAGGGTTCAGGAAGAGACCACATCACTGTCTGAGAATGGAGGCGGGCTATCACTGGTCCTCCCCATGGCCGGCACACGCTGCGCAGCAGAAAGCGCAAGGTCCAGCAAACACGGCGCGCGGTTGGCCGGCCGGGGCGATGGCTGATGTGCTGGTTTCTAGGTCGAGGAGCTTCTGAGGAGGTGGTGGTTGGTCGGTTCGTTGCGCTGGGACTTTCGGCCGTGGGTTTCAGCTGAAGCTCGGCGATGGAAAGCTCAGGTCGTCTCGTCCGGCTCCGTTCGTTTCGTGCCGACAGACGATGGTGAACTCTGCGACTGGTCGAGGACTGGCGTCAGAGTCAGAGTCTCCTTGCGATTCGCTCGATTCGGAATCTGGATGAACCCTGGCAGAGGAATTCGGACATGGAGCTCGGGGATTCTGTTCCCTTTTCGGATCGAGTCGGGGAGATTTGAAGCTAGGTTTCAGTTTGGTGGGTGTACTTGTTCGCTTTCGCGAGTTGCAAGGGCGCGATGGGTTCGGCGTCATCACGGAGGAGAAAGGATCCAGCAATTCGTGAATTTGTAGTTGCGAAGAGGGTTTCGGGAGTCGATTCTCGACATCCCGATCGGGAGATCGGATGTATGCGCTTAACTGCTCGATTGGACCGTGGAAGTGCTAGCGAAGTATGATTCATGAAGTTGAAGCCTTCATGGCTCGTGTTATAGTGGCCTCGAGAGACTCGGACAAGCTCTACCAAATTCACAGAAGGCTGTGGGAGGGGATTCATATTTCTAGAATACTCGTGCCTGGTCCAGCAGGCCTTTGTCACCGGGATTTGTCGACGAATCATCGAGTCGTACCTCCGCCGAGTTTCACACGCGATGTTCATGTCGAGGACCTGCATTCCTTTCAGTCGAGAGCAAGAAACTCCTGTTGTTTCCTGGAGCCTGAAATTCTGGGAAGATTTTCGAGATTTCCTCATTCCTTGCAGCCTTACATTGTTGATACTGATGGGTTTGAAGACGACGACCAGCAATTTCTGCATCGTCCAGCTGCTGGAACGCATTCTTGCAGATCATCTTGCGGCAAAACCGGCAATTATGAAATCCCTACCCTTCAAGGAGGCGTGGAAGTGTACAGCATAAAAACCAGGCACAGCCACAAGTTTCAAAAGGAGTCGAGATCAGGAAGTCGAAGGCTGGAGTTTCTGACATCTCCGTCCTTGTGGAGAGAATCACATAAAAGCCACATGGCTTCAACGAGCCTTAGGACACTGAACCTAAGCGCGTTCAGACTGGATCTGAGGGTTGCACATGATCTGACACCGTTTTCACGGATTATGTTTCGAGGCTTTCATTTTGCTAAAGGACCCAGCAAAATTGGAACAGAGAAGTATCATAGTGCTTTGACTTCTGTACAGGGTATTTCTGACTGTTCTAGGAAGAATATGTCAGAAGCAAAACGAGAAGAACCAGCTTCACGGATCGAAAAGGGTGCAGCAATCGATGAGCAAGAGCCGGACAAGGGCTTGCATCTGGGCAGAGAAGACGAGGATAGGACAGATCAGTATGCGAATGCTATTCTGCCACCTCCGATGGGTTCATCTCGGCTAGCTAAGAAGATAAAGTATATCCTGGGTGGAGGAGCTGGATCCTGGCATGCACTTTCAAGTTTCCGGATGAATTTGAATCCCTCGCTGGTCAGTAAAGTGCTGAAGGTGGTGGAAGATTTTCGGCTTGCTTACGGATTCTTCAAGTGGGCTGGTGAGCAACAAGGATACGAGAATACTGCCGATGTGTACAATATTATGGTGGGCAAACTTGCTGTGAACGGACATGTCGAGGGTGCAGTCCTGCGTCTGGAGGAGATGACAAGCAAGGATTTGAAAGTCAGCGTGGTTACTTACACTACTGTAATTCATGCTCTGTGCAAGGCAGGTGATATCAATGCAGCGCTTAAGCTGTTCTCAGAGATGCGAACTAGCTTGTGTGCTCCCAATGTGTACACCTACAACGCTGTGATGAACGGGCTCGGTAAGATGGGGAGAGTGGACGAGGCACTGAAGCTTTTTGCGGATATGAAGTCCACAGGGTGTTCACCGGATGTCGTGACATTCAACACTCTGATTGATGCCCTCGGAAGGTCAGGAGACATGAATAAGGCTGGCCAGCTTTTTCAAGAAATGGAGGCAACGGGATGCACCCCAGATGTGGTGACGTATAATTCTCTCATACATGGCTTTGGCAAAGAAGGCAGATGCAGTGCAGCTTGTGCAGTTTTTGAGGGCATGAAGAGAAATGGTTGTGCTCCTGATACGGTCACTTACAACACCCTGATGGATGCCCTCGCCAAGGGTCAGATGTGGGACCTGGCCTTTGAGCTTCTGGAAGAGTTTCAAAAGGAGAGCCGGTTCGCACCCGGGGCAGGGGCAGCTCTCTACACAAGTCTGATTGATGCTCTGTGCAAAGCCAAGCTGGGGAAAGAGGGATTCCGGGTGTTCGAAAGCATGCAACAACATGGCAGCACACCCGATCTTTATACATACACTACGTTATTGGTAGGGCTTGGAAAGAGCGGACAGTGGGACTTGGTAAGGACTGTCGTGGCAGACGTGAAGAGAGCCGGTTACACCCTCAACGTGGTCACTTACAACTCACTGATCGATAGCCTGGGTAAGGCTGGACAAGACGAAGCAGCTCGCAGGCTTTTTGCAGAGATGGAACAGAGTGGTGTTTCTCCCGACGTCGTGACCTACAACTCTTTGATTGCCGGCATCGGTAAGGTCGGCAGCCTGGAGGAGGCTTTAGAGTTACTGGAAACAATGAAAACTCGTGGGATCAGTCCGACCGTAGTCACATATACTTCCCTTATTGATTTACACATCAAGGCAGGAAACATTAAGGTAGTCTGGAAGCTACTGGAGGAGATGAATCTGAAGGGTTTGAAGCCTAACGCGGTGACATATAGAGCTCTGATAGATGGCTTTTGCAAAGCAGGGGAGCTGGAGTTGGCATGGGACTTTTATCTGAATATGCTTGATATGGATTATCCTCCTCACCTGTTCACTTACAAATCCCTCATAACTGCATGTCACAAGGAGGGTAGAGCTGACAAGATGCAGGAGCTGTTCGAAAACATCAAGCAAAAGAGTTATGGTCGCAAGGCAGGGCAGCTGGGAACATTGGAAGAGTTTCTGCGAGACTTGGAGCAATCAAGCGAAGGTCGTCGCTCCAGGAAAGGTGACTTATTGCAACAGGGCATCTCGAAGTGAGGCCGATCACATTGATGGAGAGCAACTGCATGGAGCCTTCCAAGTCATTTTGGCCCTGAAGTGCAGGGCAGAACAGTCCAACTTGACAAGCAGTGCTTGCCCTAGACTGAGAGTACGAATATGAATCCCCTTCTCCAGTTTCTCCGTGTTGTTCACAAGTAGACTGTTGTAAACCGAGAGATGGTAGTCGTTGCCATGATCAGTTGTAGGCCATGCACAAATAACTTTCATGTCTTTGCAAGCTTTGATTGGAGCGTTCGAGGTCTCAAGGTTAACTTTACTTTTTTTGGCGCAGATTGGTCCAGTTTATCCGACCTTCATATGATGAACAACTCAATCTTTGTTCCAGGATTTGAAACGCAGTCAAAGTCTGAAACTTGAAATTACCTGCATCGACTCTTGGAGCTGCTGGGTAAAGCATTACATGGACCTACAAAGTCAAAATTACATTGTGACTTTTGATGAATAGGTGTTTAATTCTGGCTACTGATGAAAGTTGCTCGAGGTCTGCTCCTCCGTGGATGGCAAGGATAGAGTTTCTGCATTTTACAATACAAAGCGCACCTGTTGGAATGTTGCTTCTGCAACCAAATTTATAAAATCATGAGCTTAGCTCATCAGCTTTGAGAATGTTGCTTGTTTTAGTGATGTCCATTTTCTCCGCATAAACGTATTGATTGAAGTGCATAAGTTCTTCAAACGAGATATGGTGGCTTCTTCTGAGTTCGTGATTTCACTAGTTTGCAAGAGAGCACATGCTTATCTTGTCAATAGATTAAGTTGGTTTAAATGTAATAGACGAACTGCTTCTTGCATCTGGCAGGTACCGTGGTAGTATGAATCGTCAGGTTATGTCCGGGATGCGAGTGATAATACGTGGGACGGATTAGCTCTGAACTTTACTGTGAAGGTAATTATATCTAGGGACGCAATTGATGAGATTTTTGAAAGTAAAAATCTATTTCATTTATTTCTCTGTAAGCTATGTTACTTCACGTCAAGTTCAGACTACTCCGCAATCATTGTTAAGTACATTAAGTGGTTAACAAACATCTGAAGCGAGTGCCTACATAAAGTGTGGATCGTATTGGTGTTAGTTAAGACAATTCTCTTGCAAAGTCGCAATATGGCAGCGGGTCCCAAGTTGCTTTCTAGACCTCGATCCACTGGATGGATCTTATATGGAAAAAACTTTCTGCGAAAGGATATTGCTCTCGGATATTTTTCGGAATGTTTATAAGTTTAATAACATAATAATCAACATGTTTGGTGGACGAATGAAATGGCAAGAGGTCAAAACATATAATAATTTCCCACATTTATCTCGGTTCTCAATTTTCACGCACATCAACCTTTATTGTGTTCAATGTACATAACCCTTACTCGAATATTCAATTCATTTTTCATGTTAGAATATGTGATATATCATTATAAGTTGCTCATTTAATACCACGGGAACTATGATCATGGAATAACCTTATTTGTTATGAATAGCATAGATCTCATTTTCTGTTGATTTGGTTGTGCTAAATCATGTTTTATGTCTTTTGTGACTAAATCATGTAACATTTATTGATTAACTAAAAGTGGAATTTTATGTTTCAAAATCGAGAGTCAAAATGTAAGAATATAAAGAAATCATTCTGCAGACATCTACATACAATTTACACAATTGAGAAGTGTTAGTTGGAGGTATAGATTTGTTATTTATTAATAAGCTTTCACTTGTGTGTGAGTAGTTAATTCAAGGAGGGCTAAGTTGCTATGTGTTACTCTAGTTAATACTATAAGACTTAATATTTCACTCCAATATCTTGTTATCATAAACTTTTTTAAATTTTTAATATTGAAACTGTTTATATTAGCTGCGATCGGTTGGATTCATTCGGGAGGAACAGGGTGCATTCCCTAAATCCCTGTCCCAGAGCTTGAGGATATTCAAATAATCGATTTTTTTAAGCAGAAGGCCTATGGTCTGCTTAACTTCTACCAATGTGCGGACAATCGATAGGAGGTTACGAAGATCGTGAATTGGATGCTTAGATATTCTCTCTTACACACACTAGCGCACAAGTATAACACTACTGTGTCAAAAATAATGGGCGTATACTCCAAATCTCCGAAAGTCTTCATTGAAGCTGGGAACCCTCTTTTTGGTCCATCTAACCTAAGCAAAGAAACGGAAGTACCACCCACACAGGAGCCAATCCAACCGGTTACTGAAGAGCATAAACCAGAAAGCGGGTTCTAGACTAGGTTATAAGCATTCTAAGTAGACCCGGGATACGAGGCGACACCCGGTGCTGACTTGTATCGCGGGTGACAAAACCCTGCTATAGGGAACGCTGGAACCAAAAGCTTTGGGCAACACAGGTTGCCTAGGCCTGTACTTCCTCTTTGTCATTTGAGCCCCAATTATTTGGTGTTTGATTAGTGGTTTCTATGAGCCTCTCACTACGTCCCGCGCACTGTATGCAGGACGCGGGGTCGTGTTTTCGTTTCGCGTCTTTGTTGGGATTTTTGTAGAATTTTGTACAATGAGGGTTATATTCACGGATTCTCTCAGGAAGCAGACGGAAGCTTTTCCTGGTTAGAACCTCTAACAATGAGCTATCCATGTCGTTTCGCAAGATGCTAACTTAGATCAGGTTATTAGAATGTTGTTGAAGTCCCTGCAAAGCTAGAACTTATGATTCTTGGAGATGACTTTTCTGGATGTTGAGGAAGATTGGTTCTAAAAGATTTAGAAAACCACGAGTGGATAAGGAAGAGAATGGATTACAATGATGGACATGATTCCATCTTGTCCATTCTCTTCATTCCATGCGACTATGAATCGAATCAATAGAAATTGGACCGACAAGTCATTTTTTGTGAGAGTCAAAACATAATACTGAGTGATGGAGAATAACCAAAATGATTGAAAAGAAGATCATCAAATTGGATGGATTGAGTTGCAAAATAGTATAAAATATGGGCTGACTCCTTTAATATTGATCATCATGACATTGAAACTAATGATAGTGACAGCAATGTATTGAAAAAAAATCTTTTTCCTAAAAACAAACTCATATATCAATCAATGAGCTTAAGTGAAATCGTGTTTTGGTGCGTGATATGCAATAATTGATTGATTTCAAGACATGGAAGGTAGTTAAACTTTCAAAGAATAAACCTTTGGTTGATGTACAAGTCCAAACTTAATCTACCAGATGATAAGAATAATCTCTTCAAATACAAATTGATGGCTGAGGTTTTCAAACAAGAGAATGGCATGTACAGAGTTTCACCTCCCAATAGTGACGCATACCCGTCCTACACTTAAGGGTCACTACTTGGAGGTGTCACTTAGAGGAGGTTTCGTAGCTTCAGGGTTTGAACTATAGAGTTACACGTGTCCGACATTAAAGTGATCCACGTGTGCCACAAACTTCTTCAAGTTCATTGTCTCTTGCGTTTTTTCTCCACCAAAAGAACCTTAAGACAGACCATCTCTTCCTTCTGCTCGACCGGGCGGAATAGAAACTCTGCCGACATCCCTAACACACGAGACAATTTCATGGATACAGATTTCACAGCCCTTAGTGAGCCTTGACATTCACGAATTACAAACATGTTCAAACATAATCTAATCTGACATGAAAGCTTCAAAACGTACAAGGAAATATTTACATTTACATGTTGCTACAAAGAGAAAAAGAGAAAGAAAGAGTTATGTGATGGCATAACATCTGGCTCTGAACTGACGCACTGACATGAGATTTCTTGGTGAGGACATCTACATTGTGAAGAATGCTTTGGAGTTTTCTTACGAAGCTCTGTTATGAATTCTGTTACGAGGTCTGTCGATGAGGACATCTAGCTCGTGAAGAATGCTCTGAAATTTTCCTCCGAAACTCTATTACGAACTATGTTACAAGGTTTGACTTTGAGGACATCTCGTTCGTGAAGAATGCTCCGAAGTTTTACTACGAACTTTGTCGATGATGTGGAATAATTTTGTTGAAAATGTAGAAACATGTGGCAAATATTTGCCACGTGCCACGGACGGTCATTATTTGAGATGTTATGTCACTATTAGAAAATAGTGACGTACCGTTCTTATTTGATAGATTTTCAAACTAGGACCTAATGGTTCTTCACTTTTAAGTCACTATTGGAAGGATGTCACTACTAAGAGGAGACACTATTGGGAGGTGAAACTCTATACTGTAACAAAAATATTCACTTGTAGTGAAATATGCTACAATTTGACTTATATATGCATTTGTTGAATTCTATGTTCTAGTTAAACACCATATGAATATAGTCACACAATTTTCTATAGATTTTCAATGTAATAAATCTACATTAGACAATAGGTTGATTTTGATAGAATTTTTCTTAGATGTTTAGATTGTTGAATAACTATGTGATTAAAAGTAAATTTATAGTCAATGAAATGCAAGAAACAAATGGTTCATGAAAACACAAAGATATTATGGAGTGTGTGATTTGTGTAATATACATGAAGAAGTAAGATCTATGATAACACATTTAGTCTATTATTCTAGTAGTTTATGTATATTACATGCTAATTCTGGTCAAAATTCAATTTGGCATATACAAAGATTAATTAAAATTTGCACTTAAGAGAAAAGATTTGGCTAAATTTAAATGAATTTTAAGTATGTATATTCTTAAAGATTTGAAAAAAATATTTATTTTTTTTAAAAAGAATATGGTTCTCGAACATGTGCTTAACAAATTTCACACGTAAAATTTTTAATAATTTGAAATTGTTTGACATCACAACTTGAACTTTCAGCGATTCAAGGTCTAATCAATGTTAATGAAATATGACAAATCTCATCAATTTTATATGACAATGCAATGGGTATTGTTTCGTATTTGATAATGGGAGCGGCTAGCTATACTTTAGTTTTGGCTTATTATCCCTCACCCTCTTCTACTAGAGATTTGTGATTGGTGAGGAACAAGATGGACACTTGGCAATGACGGATCCGCATTCTTCACCGTCATGCATCGAGTACTCCGTCCGCGTCTCACTCTGAATGCCCTGCTTTGCGAGCTTCCTCGACTCCACACGAACTGTTGTCTGGAAACTAGCCTCACAACAGCTTGCAGCTGTAGCAATCTGTGCATCCAGATCTGGCCTCCTGCAATTTTTTTAAAAAAAATCAGAGCTTGCTTCATGTAGGATCGAATGTTAAGAGAATTCTTCTCTAGATGCAACAGTCAAAGAAACAAAAATGGAGATAATTCGAAAACCTTCGTTGCATCTACGGTGACAATGGCTTAGAAATTGCTGCACCTAGCAATGCCATGGCCAAGAGATTCTAACAACATCGAGCTGGATTTTTGTTGCATTTTCACGGAAGACAAGAGCTCATCGTTGTATGCTTGAGGAGGTGGGGCTCCCCTATCCCCGATGACGACAGAATTAGTAGGAGAAATAAGGGGCCAAACTTTTACTACGTGAATACACGAGGGAGTGAGAAAGGCGGACAGACAATGGCAATGACGGAGATCTTGTTTAATCTTTGCATTTGACCAATTGCATAACTTTACTAAAGAAAGTAGAGTAGGGTGACTAATAATGAGTCAAAAGTGAGAGATAACTAACCGCTCTCTTGATAATATGCATTGAAATTCATATTGCTCTTACAAGCTATGTACAAGATGAGCACTTACATGTCAAATTCAAAGAATGTGCAGTGCAAAGTTGTGAAGTGTGTGTATTATCAAGTGTCTCAATAATACTAATCTTGCAATATTTATAATACATGTTGCAACAAAGCAAATGTCAAATAGCAGGTGAGAAAAAATCAATATTCAAAATTAATTTCTTCTAATAAAAGGATATTAAAAAAATTAGATTATCTAGATTGACTATATTTTTCAATCTAGTTTATACATTGAACAAAATTATTTATCTGAAAAATGTTGTGATATTTAAGAAGCACAAGTAAATTTTATTAGTAATTTTGAAATTATTGTAAGTTGTGCCAACAACTTATTTTTAATTAGGCCTAGTTTACAGAAATCATTGTGTTCAATTTTTGTCTCATACTTTTCATGAATACCATATTGATTTGAAATAATATATATTTTAAGACATGAAACAAGCAACTTATTGTTCGTCATTATCTCAAGTAATTCATGTTCATGTAAATTTAGTTAGTAAAATTAGGATTAGAATGTCACTATCTATGAAATCTGATAATAAATATCTATGATATAAATTCGATTTTTGAAAAAACGATTTCTGTTCAATATGAGATTACATGGTGTAACCTCACAGAGAATAAATAAATCACATATTCTTTGGTCAGATATGATTATTTTCATTTTTTGTGATAATTATCTAACAATTTTCATATACGTGATATTACAATTTGTGTCTACATCTTACTTCAGTTTCACTACTTTTTAATCTTAGTCAATTTTTGATGTACTTCATCATAAAATAAATAGAAAAAAATTGATGGCATAATCATATTAAAATATATTGATTGTGTGATATGAGATTAAGCATAATTGTAAGAATTTATTTGACAATTTATTATGCATAAATAAATTTATTATCAACAAGATAAGAAATTGACCTCTTAAAATAAATAAAATGTTCTTTCCATGTTTCTATTTTTTTTCTTTATATTTGAAACATGAATCATTATCAAGTTTTGCATTGCTGATGCATCTAAAATTATCAAAAAATTGTTGTGAAGACGGCTTCAGTTTCAAAACTATTACAAGGAAATATTGAAATAGCATAAACATTTACTGTACGAATAAAAAAATCCATTTTGGATGAAATTCTTTTTAGTAATTTAATATTTAAAAAATTCATGATTTCTACTTGACTTAGAAGTAAATTCATGTCTGTTTTAATTTTTATAACAAATCTACAGATTGTAAATTTACTCCATTCCTTATTAGTACTGTGATAATGTTCATGTCATACAATTAAATCTAAAACATTAATCAGTTTTACTTCAAAATATAGTCACATTAAATAATTTTACGATTGTGATATACATCATCGATATTGCAAAAACATCTGTTGTTTTAGTGATAATTACTTCACATGACATCTTCATTGATGAGTGTAAAATGAAAGTTAGTCATGTAAGTATGGGTGAAAAACTAACTACGAACTCTCACCACAATTAAAGTATTTTAAAGGAAAGAGGCTTGGTCAAGGTGCAACTCAAGCTGCTTGGCACTGGAAGGTGTCACCTAGAGTGGAACATCGTCACGGGGTGATATGCAGAAGAAACCAACGACGGGCAAAATGTTCATATAACCCAATGCGCAGGATATGTATAACAGCAAAAGTTTTTGCCAAAATTATAAAGTTGGCGAGCAATGAACAGCAGACGAGTTTTATACGCGTGCAAGGGGAGAAGGTAACGCGAACTTGGCAGTGTTGGAAAACTACGGGGCTATGTTAGTCGAGGTGCTACGCAATTTCACGCAATAAAGGGCGCATTTGGCGGAACTCCCGTCCAGCTTGCGCTATTCAATGAGAAAGTCGATCTTCTGTCGCGAGGGAGCGGGTATGTTCGATTACCTTCTACGCTGTTGCATGTCATGTGGTACAAAACAGAAAGCAATGAGAAAAACGTGTGGACTAATGCTCTTGGAGGAAACATCACCGGACTGTCACTTTCCCAAAGTCCAGTATGTAAGCTTCATTTACCAATAGCCTATCTTCTAGAAAGAAATCCATCATATCTCAACCCCAACATGAAAGCTCATACAGGAAACTGCATATGAAGATAATAACATCGGGATCACTTACAAGTATTTTTCACATAACATCATCTTAACCACCGATGAAAGCCTATCCTTCATTACTAATTGCTGAAACGTAACGAAGAATGCTTGCGGGCGTTAACCCTTACACGCCATGTATCGATTAATCATACATCTCACAATATGTACCAAAGTATATGAAAGATTTACGTGCTTCTATCCTCGATAAAAGCTTTCCATTAGAGACGAAAAACACACATCGTTACAGGTAAATAGACATTTCCCGGTCTCAAAATTACACTCGCTTTGTGAGCAAGGTCATTACTCTCGGTTCATATTGACAGAAGGGTAAGTAGAAGAGGCCACCAATTGGCACCCCGAGAACTGAAATGCCTCGACAGTGATGTACAACAGCTTACTCCAGCTCCCTCAAGAAGTCCTCATTGTCAACAAAAACCTACATAGCCAACCAACATACAGAGATATGAAGTCTCAACAATAAGACAAGCAGTAGTTTGATACAAGCTTGAAGACAACAACAAAAATCCCAAAAGCCCGTCTGATCACTGTAAACAAATATCTAATCGAAAAATGGGTGAGAAGGAAGCATTTGATCTGTCTTGTTGAAATTGCGTAGGAAAGACTACGGGAAACTTACGGATTTCCAGCCATCTGGATCAGTGATGGATGTGATTTTAGTGTTGATCCCGGGAATAGCTCCAGGTTCTCGCACAATCTTGCCACCAAAGTGCCTAATCGCTTCGGCAGTCTTATAGACATCGTCCGTACCAATGGCAATCTGCAATTCGAAGAGCAGACCAGGTCATCTATGTATGTAAGCGTACCACTTATTCAAAAGAACCATCGAAGCAACCAGTTAGCAGAGAAATACAAATTTCGTAGCTGCTTCGGATATCAGCGTGATAATATTGACATCGGTTAAACATGAAGCAGATCTCAAGGCAAGAATGAAAACTCTATGCTTTTAGCGGAAACATAAACAGACGAATCCACGAGCATTACCTGTGCATATCCAGTGCCCTTGGTGTACTCAGTTACTCCATAATTGTAAGTCAATTCCAACACGCAATTCTTATCCTCTGGTCCATAACCCATCATAGCGATTGTGTACTGCCAAGACAAACAACAGGTCCATAAGCACTAGCAATCAAGAAAATGTATCATCGTGATTGTGGAAAAGTGAATCTGCATAGAATTTTCCAGCACGAATCGAGAACACATTGAGCAGCCTCGAGGTTGACAATCAGAAAATTTGGAAGAGAGAGGTATGTCATGATCTTACTTTGTACTCAGGGACATCACGCTTGCGCAATAGCTCCATTCCAAAAGCCTGCAAATTCGCCTTAAGTGTTATGTATAGACACTCGAAACTCAACCCACTTCGAGCGACAAAATAGCCATGCGACAAGAACGAGCCTCGCTAAGATCAACCTCGAGCTACAGCAAATTTCGGCTATAGATAAATACTGCTGACATCACATCCATAAGGTCTGCTCTCGGGAAACAATTAAACATTACCTTCTCATAGAAAGCGATAGCTCTGTCCATGTCACCAACACGCAACATTACTTGACAGAAAGGCTCAGGGGTTGCAGGTCTCTGAATGAGCTCGAATTTGTAACCATCGGGATCATCGACGAAAGCGATGACTGACTTTCCACCCTTAACAGGGCCTGGCTCACGGGAAACCACACCACCTTTCGCTTTCACGAGATCGCATACTTTTTGCACCTATGTAATCAATCATGCCTCATCAGAATTAGACATGATTTCTGATATACAAAATCGACTAGTCAATTTGAAATAGAAGTTAACTGGAATCAAATCGTAAATGTTTCATGATAGATTAACAAAATACATGAAAGGAACTCACATCCTCGACTGCAAGACCGAAGTGACCAAATCCAGTTCCAATATCATAGCTAAAGACTCCGTAATCTGCAACCAGAAATCCCACGGGAAATGTGGCTCTTCATTGGGTGCGCTAAGGAGACGACATTTGACCAATTTAGCACCAAGTTCCTCCTTGTCAGAGTATACATCAATTTCAGGATGAGATCGTGATATTGAAGAAATAGCCATCGCATTATGTCAAAGTACGAGTATAAATAATTCAGTAAAACAAGTTATACAGCACCAAAATCAACAAAGTATCGATCTACGACATAACAGAAGATAGAATGGTATGGACGTACTGTATGTCAGCTCAACAACAAAATGGGAGTCCTCAGGACCGTAACCAAGGAAGGCATTGGTGTACTTCTCATCGGGGAAGTCTCGCTTCCGCAAAAGCTTCATCCCCAAGCATTCGGTGTAGAACCTGTATAATAAGAACCGAGTATCAAATACCCCTGCTTACCAGCTTCATACTACCGATCCTTGTGCGAGTTAGTTCGCGAATTTGAGATGACAAGGGAAAACAGCATGAGAAAGAATCAAAAGAGTATCTGAATAAATTCAATTCAAATTTCAGCCCTACTTGATGGTCTTGTCCAAATCTCCAACTCGATAAACGACGTGAAGCATACGACGGTTGTCCTTCTTGCTCCACTCCAAGTGGTTGTCATCGGAGACTGCGGTAGCTTCTGCGGAGGCGGCAGCAGCCATGTTGCCTTGTAACTGGGATCCAAGGGCTCCTGAGAATGTACCAGCTAAAAGTGATACTACTTCCCTTCCTGCATCCAACCTCCAACGTTAGGCTACTCCAAAGGAACGAGCCGCAAGGAGTCCATGTGCTTCTCGTCGATTAAGATGAATAATACCATGAGAAGGACTTTTAACCCTGAAATGGTTCTCATAGATACTTCTAGATGCTCAAAATTCCCTACACGAGATACACGTGCAGAGGTAATTGCAGTCCCATTACGACACGTGCTCTTCCCTTCTCCGACATTGTCCTCTCCGCATGTAAACAAAGCGTAGCAGTGATGGGCTTTGGAACAGTTTGAAACAGTGTGGCATTTTAGTGAAATGTAAAGTAATCAAGGGTGAAAAACCTTATGCAGAGTCTAGAAAAGATCATGCGCGGCGGTCTGGGCTGGCATATCGACTTCAACTCCTATATGACGAAGGTCGGGGACTGCTATCACGGCTTGAGGGCAACATGCAAAGAATACCCTTCTGCATTACATGCTGCGATACTGTAAATTCTCGCCCCGTTAAAGCTCTGCTCAGATACTGACAGTCAAATCGATGTTCGGCCACATTGAGTGCAGATTATGCAGCTGCAGGTTACTACATACGACGAAACTTGGAGAATTGTCGTTACCGGCCGGCTTGGACGACATATTTTAGTACTCAGCTTCACGAATGACAAAGTGGCCAACGCTAAATTAGATGAATAAGGAGTGGCAACTTCTGTCATCCGATCGTAATGAAGATACCGAACAAAAGCTGAGTGAAGAGGGCTGAGACAAAAAGTGACTCGCATTCGCACATTGCTCCGATAGTTCACAATTCAATGAACTTTGATCGAGTCAAGCTGTTACTCGAGATCAGATTGCCTTCATTGAAATAGAAGGATGGAAGAACTACCACATTCACAAGGGAGAACGTGTACGAAAGATCCGACCTCAAGTTTTACTAATAGCTTCCTCGGACAAAATTCCGGGCTGATTGGAAAATTCACACACCTACAATCTCAAATCTAGAACACAAGTAATCGCATGCAAAACAATTACATTCCGCAAAGATCATTCGAGTTTGAATCGACAAATTTCTTGGGGCAAGGAAACGCAACCGGAATGGCGGACAGGGATGAGAAGCAGAACCCGCTCGAAAACGAGCCCAATGAAAAGAAGGCAGGACTTACGTTGGACAAAAATCGGAGTTCCAAGAATGAGGCTCCTTGGCAAAAGACAGTTGACGCGGAGAGAAGTCGCGGATCTGGTTCTTAAACGCAAAGGCGCGGCAGCGCGGGCGAGAGCAGTGCAGCAAAGGGGCGCAGCTGCAGCAGCAGACATAGCCATGGCTCCTGCCCTCGTGCTCAGCCCTCTTTCCACTTTCCTTCGTCCTCTCGGCCCGAGGGAAGAGGGAGGTTGGTCTGGACGTATGATTCTTGCTCCCGCTTTGCTGACTGGGCCAGAGCGTCCTTGTGCACGGATTTCCACGCGTCAGCAGCCCAACGATCTCGCTCTTCCTAGGGCCAATGGCATACGAGGGCGATGCTGGAAGGCTCTGTCCTGCCCACGTCGTCAGCCAGTCACTCAATCACAGCATTCGGTCTCCGTACGTAAACCCCGGCAGCAGAGGGCAGAGGAAGAGGCCGCAGCAGCAGCAGAGATCGCTCATCGCCCACTTCGCTCCTTCCGATTGCGTCCAGGCCATTAGTGTCAACTCAGATTCCCTTCTGAGGACAAATTGCGGGGAGCGGATTTCGATGCGAACCCGAGATTCAATAATGTAAAACTTGACAGGGGAGCACGAAGCGAAATCCGGCAGCAAACGGGACCACGTTCTTGCGTGAATGATTAAAGAAGCCTGTGGTACTTCAATGAGATGATGATGATGGCTTATCCACTTCCCTGTCCTGTTCCAACAGATCAGTTTTCAACAGCGCACATCAAATAACGCAGGAAAGCTCTGCTCGATTCAATTACTCGACGAGCATGCGTTCTTCGTGGGTTCGATTCATCGTCTTCCGACCTCTACACGTCTGCAGACCTCCGACCTCTGGACGATAATTATCCATTTTTAGCCCTTTGCCCGCGTGCGAGGGGCGGACCAGTATAACGGTCTGAAATAGTTTCGAAGTTCTTTAGTTGGCATCGGCGCTCCTTCGATGCATTTGATAGGTAGAATTTGAGATCCTCTTGTGTTCATTTCAGATTCGAGTCGATGAAAACCATGATGCACAGGTAGAAAGGACTTGGAAAGAAGTTACAGAAACCCGGGAAGACCCCATCCAGCGTTACAAAGATGAAGTCAAGTGATTAACACGTGTTAAATCGCTTATAACATCACAATTGAACCACTACATGAGTTCTCCAATATATTGTTCGAGGTGAAGTAAAGGGTAGACATGAACTAACGAGTGTTGTACATCATGTTCTTTAATATCATAGGCTAACCTGATTTTTTTCACAAATAAACATGTTTCACATGAAAAAATCTCATATAACTTCAAAACTTAGAATAACAAAGAGAAAATAACATAACCAATGCACTTGAACATGTTTTTTGTTGACGTTACTGTTATCGAAACATTGTGTCATCTATAAACATAAGGTTTGTACCATCCGAACTAGTTTATAGATCGCAAGGTACGTACGAAGCTTATGTGAGTGTATTAGTCCACTCATTTTTATAACATAATCTATTGCAAGGCATAACAATGCTATTTACACTAACAGTAACTACGCACACCGCAATACCAAAAACAGATACCCCTGGAGATCATCGATAGCTTTCGTTGAGCCATATAAACATATGCCTGAAATGCCCTTGAACGCCCAAAAGTGCAAACTTCCAACTTTAGCTCTATTAGAAACCATGGCCGTTAGAGTTATAAATGTGATACCACAGCAAATTACGCTTTTCCTCTAAAAGGTATTTGGTTCTTACAAGTTATCGAGACCTTTTGTTATTAACAATTTCTGTATTCTGAATCATCCTCATTTGCTCATATCATCGACGCACTTCATTTTGAGTCCACACCATCTATACAGTGCGTACTCATCTACATGTATTCCACAAAATGAATCTTTGTACTCATGTATGTAAGCATCATGGAGCAGTCATGTCCCTGAATCCTGCAAGTTTCCCAAAAAGTTCTTGAACTGCCTCCCATGAGTACACAGTCCTTGCATCTGACTACGTAGAGTTCTTGGAACTATCAAGTTACTGCGGTTGGTGTTAAGCGAGTACCACGATTATGGTACCAATCGAAAGTACACGGACTCTATAAATCATGAGAAGAGAGAAATGCCAGTGACGCTAAATGATAATCTATTCCTTCGGGCACTTGACAGTTCCAGTACAAATCATGTATGTAACGTCCGCAGATATGGAAGTTCTGCGTCTGCTTCTTAGCACCCACAATTTACGCGTGATCAAACTCCCATTACGGTGTGTTTGACAGAACGGATTATTTGATCTCCGGTTTTGAGAACGTAAGCAAAAGCTGCATACGCAACCTGTGAGTCATCCCACTAGGCCTCGAGCCCCCGTCCCGTGTGTCACGACATTTGAACCATTCAAACATATGATAAAGCGTTTCAAATTGGGGGCATAATATAATATTCGTTAATCTGGTAAATACTGCCAAACGGCACCTGTTCTACTCCCAAACTTATATTCAACTTGTCAAAGTCAGAAGCTACTGACTGTGATAAGTTGAATATATTGAGTGAAATACTCGCAACAATTTCTAAGATCTGGCAGGTAATAACAGATGATTAAGATCACGCAAGAGATTGTGATAAGTTTAATATATTGAGTGAAATAATCGCAACATTTTCTAAGATCCGGCAGGTAAGAACAGATGATTAAGATCACGCAAAAGATTGAAACTTATAACACAAGCACTACTCGCTTAATCCTTTACTTGGATTCATTCCGCAAGTAGTTCGGAAATATTATGTGAACTTTTAATTTCAAAAACCTGATCCGTCTCTGGCAGTTTTAACATAATACACAAGGCATCGTTATGTCTCGATAACATCGCTCTCACCCCGTGGTTGTATATGTGACGTACATCTCATAAACATGACCAAACTTTGCTTTATCCAAACATACTCTTCTTCATATCCTCTCACGACTATCTTCACAACTATCGATGTCAAGGATACAATAAAGAAAGCTCCAGATTGTTCTATGTACAATCTTCAAGCTCAAAGCACTTCTCAGCACAACAGACATGCATACTGGCCAGAACTACAAAATCATTTGAACATGTTTAGGCCTGCTTTACAATTCTAAAAATAAATTGAGGGTCATTGCTGAGAAATCAACAAGAGCTACTGCTTATCAGATGAAGTCAAATTCCTTTCTCAATATAAGTGGAATAATTCTATTCCCATATGAATCTCGTATAAATGCCGGTCACTTCACACTCTGATACCAATCAACCTGTCCTATGTGGAGAATCAGCTGCAAGGACGTGAACTGCTTAGGGAATCTCACGATTGTAGGGCATGCTAGCTCCCACCTCTCCATGCTCCTTCCTCTCCTGCTTAACCTGCAAACAACAGGCATCCAATACTCTCATCATTAGATTTGGTTTATATTACCGACTCCAACCATGTTACCCTATCGTAGTACGACTGAAACAAACAAGAGTTATCCATGTGCATACGCTATGATATAAACGACGAATACTGCAAAATTGTAATATGTCAGGCAGATGACAACGTTGATAGTAGATATTGTCAAACTTCAGTAACAAGCGTTTCGTTTGTGAGATACAAGAGAATAAGTTTCGAAAAAACACACAACAGGAATGAGTAACAAGCGTTTCGTTTGTGAGATACAAGAGAATAAGTTTCGAAAAAACACACAACAGGAATGAGGATCCGGTCAGAGTGCAGAGCTATGTCATTGGAGATTTGAGATACAGGGAAGCAAAAACTGTCAACGCATTTCTTTAGTCCATGGGCAATGTGGAACTCTGTAACCTTGGCACTCTTTAGACCCGTTCATTAGCGAGTGCTTCGGCCTCCTCATTTCAGATTAAGGTCAACTAGGTCTTGGATGTGCGCGAATGGTGGAATTTGATGAAAATAAACAAAACAGAACAAACCACAGTGATAGTTTTCTCCACATACCTGGTCCAACGCATCTTGCAAATAGTACTGGAAAGGAGTCTGCTTTGCCTGCACAAAACAAGAAACAGGTCCAGTCAAAGAGTGATCTCAGGTTACGAGTTTTCAGATTACATTTGCTTTCATTTCGCAGGAACGAAGTTGCAACACAGGGATGGCAGTAATTAGAGCAAGAAACTGAGTAGAAGACAATGCTATCTTCGGAAAATAAGGAAATTGAGACACACACCTGCAATTCTTTGGGCAAGTAGACGTGCTTCATTGAAGCATCCATGGCTCTCTTAATGCGTGCGTTACGAGCTAGAATCTCTGACTCCGGTAGGCGAGACATAGCTTCCTTGATGTCCAGATCGTACATCTCATCATACAAATCATCGTAACGCAATCCTGAACACGATCGTGGCAATTCAGAACCAATTCATCGCTCCAAGCAAATCCCAAGACAGATGCGTCGTCACGGCTGGATTCAATCGAATATACACAGTCGAGAAATTTTAAGAAAGGAGTCTCTCAAAGGCCACCGGTAGCAGTCGATCCGATGAATCCGTTCACGAGAGAAAAGGGCTTTAAATAAGACGGAACAGGTGAAAACGAAATATTCGAACCAACAACTTCAAACAGGATACCGAAAAATAGATTCAAATCCTCGTCAATATTTCCAACTTTCCCGACAATATTACTCCGCAAAAGATTCCCCTTCTTGATACGTCCACAAAGCTTTGACTTGCGAGGTTGCTGTCTGCCCATCCAATTCCCCTCTGATCGATGCAGATGAACAAAATTCACAGTCTAAATCCACAACTTACCCCTAACCCTACTGATAAACTCTCGAAAAAAATCTTTAACAAGCACGCAGATCGATCCATAGATCACTCTTCAATTGATCGCGAGAGATGATACAAAAAAGCCAAAAAACATGACAACCCCAAGAGATATCCAAAACAAAAAATGACGCCCGGAACCAGTCCGAAGTGATCGACCCATACCATATTTCTTCAGCTCTTTCGCCACGGCTGCTTGGTATCGCCGAGATGCCCAGTTCCAAATTGGTTCGCTCAGCTTGGTCAGAAACGAAGCCATTTCGTGCAACGAGAATCAATCACCGGCAGCAGCAATCGGCAATCTCGAAGCAAAATTTCGGCTCCCGGTCGTCGACGACGATGATGATCGTTTCGGCTCTCTAGTGGTCGCACTCCTCTGCTTCCCTTGACGCCGTCCTTACAAAGGTCTTCGTCCTTTCTCCCCCTTCGGACTCTCCGGAGAGCCACTCCTCCCGTTTCTCAAGGCAGCCTTGTAGGAGGCATGTCCTTTTCTCCGGTCGTTCGTCCGTCCGGCACAGACGGACGCTTCTTCTATCCGTCAGCCCTTCTTCTCCGTCACTGTACTTCGGGATACGCATTCGGCAAAGTCTCACGGAAAGGGAAGGACCCTGCGAAGACGTGGCAGTGCAGGTGAGTGTGACGTGGGATAGCGCACGCCGAAAGTCTTCGCATCTCAGCGTCCATCAACGTTCTAGATTCCTGCATCCTTTTTACAGGCAGTCTTGGTCTTGGGAAGCCAACAGTTGCGTACCAACTATTTAACTTTCTCTTGCTGCTTCCGAGTTCTCTTGGTTATTTCTGGATAGACATTGCTAATGAGCATGTTCCTAACGATCTGACTGTACAATATCGCGCATCCCGATCTAATCTTATATCCACCTACCAAAAAATTCAAGATTTTAGGTGACTTTGGCCGACTGCTGTTTTGGAGTATTTGATAAATATAAACACGCAAAACCTGCCATTTGCAAATAATGTAGTCAGTATGTCAGATTCTTTCTCTGATAACTCCGTTTCTATGTTCTCGAACTCGGTTCCTTCATTGCATTTTACTCCAAGCTTTCAACACGGTAACTTAGCTAATGTATAATGTTTAATAGATGTAATAAGGTAACCCAAGGCCATATGAAGAGGATCTGACTGGCTAGGTGCTCCAGTAGAGTATCAGGAACAGCAATGTAGTAGCACAGTTTGCAAAGAGTGAAGACGCTTGTACTGAGATTTACAGGAGCAAAAGAGCGTTTGAGACGAGTAAAGTCTCTTGGATTGAAAACTAGCCTGTGATTTGCCCACAAATGCTTTTGTGCCAAAACGAACGATGCAAACTACATGACCATAAAGAAATAGCTGTGAATATACCAAGCATCGCCCTGACTCTTTCAACTTATAAGAACGGTAAGTAGTACCACTTCGATATAGTGATTAAATGTAGAAGAAATCTTTCTGCAAAGACTTCTTTAGGTAGAGTTACATATATATTGTTACAGTGTAGAGGCAAAAAAATTGCGGAATGGTTTGATTATATTTTCTATTGTGTTCTAATGTATAAAAAAATCATAATGAAAATTCTTTTACTCTTGACAGGTCAAGTTTAATTCACATAATATTCACAGAATTTAATTATTTATACATATCCATGTCTCTAGATTCTATTATTTTTTACGTCTTTGGTTTTATAAAACCTAAGAAGAAAGATTCAAATAGATAGGTAGATTATCATTTCCAAATTCAAAAGAACACTAGACATACAGAATTGTTCACATGAGATGACAATAAATCAAATCTCAACGATTTGCAATCAAAGCAATAACAATATGTATAATTATATCCATTCTTTAATTTTTTTTCCAATGATAATAAGCTCTAAATTACTTGTAAACATTAAATATGTATCCTTGAGATTCATCACAAGGTTAACAATTCTGATATAAATATCACATACATATCTTTCAAGTATAAGCAACATGTCCATAATAAATTGGATGTTAAACTCAATATACAACTTACAGGAAAAATCCTCTAGGCAGGGTTGGCACAACCAGATTTTATTGCATGAGGTTTAATTAGGTTAATTAAAAGCCTTAAAATTGATACAATCAAAAATAGTTTGGTTTAAATCCGCAGACTCATTAAAGGTTGGACCTCCAAGCATTAGTCCATTACCCACACTGAGCGTTGGCGAGCTGCGCGATCATGAATCACCATGAAGATGCAGTCAATAGTGATGATGTAATTCTAGTCAGTGACAACAAAAGATTTGGTTGTCGTACAACCAAGTTTTGGGTTGATTTTATTGACATTGTCAATCCATACAAGCTGAAGTATGTTGTGTGAAATCACTGCAACGAAACCGTTGCAGTTCATAAGAAAAGCGAATACTGATATTCCATCTTGCTTAAGGGTTGCTTTCGGATCGAAAAAAGCTCGTTGGATTGCCGCTTGAACGTTGTTACGAGGAAGTCCAAGATAAATATGCAAAGTATTTGAATTTGTTCATAGCTTGCCTAGTCTTCAATGCATAATTGAACATCAGATATGAACGGATTGTGAACTATACGACCATAGTACCGCCTAGTAAGACACTCTTTTCGGAATCTGTTTTGAAAGAAGAACAATGTCATAATGCCGAATGGATCGTCGGCAACATCAAAGGTGTCTTTCGCAAGTACACCAATACAAAATTTGAATGAGTAGTCACCTACAACACTTATGCGAACAAGAAATTGTGAGAGTGTTCATTACCTAACTTTATTTCGTCATTCTTCCAAGGATGTACATCACATGGCCTCCATTTATTAGTCAAAGATGTTTTTGGATCATCAAAAACAAAGAAGAAGGGAGATATATAGCAAATCTTTCCTCATGGATACCAGTTTGCGTATTTTATGCTAGTTGTTTCAGATGTTAAGGATGTGGTGAAATTCTCCAACATTAATCACTTCATCAGGGCAAAATTGTCAGAACTTCAAAGTTCACAAAAGTTCTGAGCACTCCCGATGACTGGACCAACTCGATGGAGATCTTTGTAGAACTGCTTGCAAATAGTTTTCCAATTTGAATCTATTTTGCATCGCCTTGCATGCAAACAAGATCTAATATTTGGCACTGCATATGAAAAGAGAGATGGCACGAGAATCAAGAATATCATTACCGACTCGAAGTTCAAATCTTATCCAGTCAAATGTTTTCAAATTATTTGACCTATTGATTAGTTTGTCGTAAGATATCAATCAGATTCCTGCTCTAATTTGGAAATAGTCCTTGATTTTATTTAGTTGCCAAAAGATTACGATAGTTTATGTGAGGAAGCAAAGCTAACGAGTACTGAACTCTAATATTTATCAAATGCATCATGTCGAAGGTTCCAGTTCTTATAGCCTAAAAGACATGGCTTGTCGTACTTATTAGATCCTCGGTTTTTTGAAGAAGAGCTTAACCGTGAAAACCGGAAAGATCTCGAATACAGGCTGGTCAAAATACTTATTGACGATTCTACACATGTAGATGAATCGATTGTGTGATCTATACATGTAATTTATCGACTTTTTCATCTCTGCTCAATCCAATAAGCAATCAGATTCGTTTCGGTTCAAAATGCTAAGTGAAAATCAGAAAACGCCACTGCAATATAGACAAACCAACTGTATCGCATGGCCGTTGCTACAACATATAGCTTTGAAGTTGTTCACAATGGCGACATCAAATGCAACTTCTAAAAAGAACTTCTCGACATTTGGCTTCGTTCACTCAAAGTTATGCAACTTTTTGGGTAAAGAGAAGTTGAAAAGCTTGTCTTCATTAAGTCAAACTTTCCAACTTTTGAGTATACTCTTGTCGAGTACAATAAGGAATCGGACTTTGAGAACTATGAGAAGTACAACGACATATTTGCGGTTGATGGTTAGCCTTGACAATTATGATAATGGAACTCAAGATGCACTGTTCTCAATCTTGTATACATAAAAAAAAAACCTTAAGTTTCATAGGTTTTAGTTTAACAAACATTTTGTTTTGGGAAAAAATATGTTCAATTCACCCTTGACTATGCATTTTGAACTACGTTTAAAATTTCTCTTGTTTTCAAGGATGATGATGAAATTCTTCAAACAAAATCAAACAAAACAAGATAAATCAACTTTATATGACAAAACCTTGTAAAATATATACTGATGTTTTTGTCACTCTTAACTATATTCACACTCATAAAAAAATATTTAATGTGATCCAAAATCATGACTTAACTTTTCATATTTGTTCAACCTGTTCAAATTTTCATTACTAATTTTTTAATATTTAAAAAAAATTAGATCTACATATTTTCATTCTTTGTTAATTGAATATAATTTAAATTAAATTATATGTTTGTATTGAACTAAATATCTTTCTCACACAATCAATGATTAAGCTAATTTCATTTATTTATAGTATTTGAGGTAAAAAATCAGTTTAATACTATGTATATTTTATCATTATCGGCATTTAAATTTAAGTCTGAGTTCTTCGTCACTAAAATACATTTTAATTTGATTTTAGCTGATGATAATGAACTTTAATAACTTTCAATTGTAAAACTTACTTGATTTTTTTTCATTGATGATGTAAAATAAATTTCTTGAATAATTTGAACTTAAAAATGTTACAATATCAATTATTCAAATGTAAGAATCATAAGATTGAATAGATATATTTTAAATTATAAGTATAGTATCCAATGTTGAAAAATGATTTATTCAGGTGTGACATAAAAACATGTGTTGTTGTGTAAATGAGAAAGATGAGTAAATAAAGAAAATTTATTACGGTATGAAGTTGCTATGAACATATAATATGTGATTTATTTACACTAAAAATAATAAAACTAGGTTTTGAATGAGATTTTGCTAAATATGTAAATTTTCTGATTTTTGTATTTAAAAAAGTAAAATTTTAAAAATATAAAATTTACAGAAATATATATCACTATATACTTTGTATTTGAAAAGATATTGAGAAGAAAATAATAATAAAAATGATTTTGCTATGCTCCTAATTATAGTCAAATAAGCATACTCTATCTTAAACCTATGGTTGCACCCAATTTGAACTTCATGAATTCTAATTTATTAACCTCATATCTGTGATAAATTTTGCAAATGATAGTTTTTGAAGAAGATAACAACACCTAACATCAACATCGTATTAGGTTAGAGAATTTATTTCCTATATGTAATGCATTTCTTACAAAGAGTTCACACGTTTGAAAGAGTTGGAGTTTGTAGTCAAATAGATAACAAATTCAAAGTAAATATCGCTTCAACATTATATTATGTTAGAGATTTCATTTCCTACATGTTATATATTTCTTATAAGAAAATTCACATGATAACAGCTTTGGAGTTTGTAGTCAAGTAGATAAAAAACGAAAAGGAAAAATCCCATCAGGTTGTATAAGAAGAATCATTGCAAAAAGCCATGAGGTAAAATTTAATAATATCACATTAAATGATATGCTATACGAAACCTAAGTTGTCTCAATGTTAATTTTCAAACCATCCACAATCAAACGATTTATAAGTAATAGAGCAGTTGGCATCTTCTCAACTAATGTGCTAACGATTAGTTGATTGTTAGCGTTGGATATCACTAGCCATGGAATATCAAGGGAAGGCAATGTAAACAGGTTGCTTGGACTAGGTTACACAATTACCCATGGTCCTTCCAGTCAAGTAGAATCTCCAACAATTTGTCACAAGGACATTGAGTTCCTCTATTTAGACATATATTGTACTGTAGATATCATGCCGAAAGTAAATATGCAAGTCAGGTTTGGAAAACATTTAGGAAGACAGTTATGATGATGGCTGTTCGTTCTTCATCGCATGCAAGACTACGAGCATAGAAACCAAGGGAAGTGATGTCAAATGTAACGTCTGATGGTTTATTATGTGATTCCCCTGCCATGGGGGCAACCAGACATAGTAAATTTTCCACCGATATTTCATGTTTGACTCAGTCACAAGGCAATTGTACAGTATTTTATTTGAATGATTCGCAGTTGTGGGACATATGGGACAGTTGTTGAATGGTTTCTGTGGTCTCATCCCTCTTCGATTTGACGGGGTCTTCCTTTACTTTTTGCTGTGCTACTTGGTACCTTTCCTTCTTCCCATGTGCTGAGCCTTCTTTTATGTAATTATCGCTTGATATGGAAAAGCTTGAAATACCTCCGTCTATAGCAAAGTATCAAAAAAGGAAAACCGTATTATGCTATTTTAACTTATATCAAGCACGTGGTAACAAACAAGTCGACCATAAGATTCTTAATCCATGAAAATCGGAAAAATAAATTAAATAATTCTCCTGCCCACGCACGTTACATGATTCCGGATAATAGGGCGTTTCAGAAAACAATCATCCAATTCAAAACCAAAAAATACCACATGTTGACCCTAACCCTCTTCTCCGTTCGCTGTACACCCTTGTAGGTTTCTACCATAATTTCGCGAAGACTTAGTTATAGCAAGCAAAATCCATCGCTAAAATTGGAGCGGTTTCCAAAACTTGGAATGAACAGGAAACTGTATATTGCACCATTATATACGGCCATTAACATCCTCATGTCTAAGGAAGTGAAAATAGTAAGTATCCAGTAACTCTGGGTAGTTAAAATCACCTGCCTATCCCGAAACACAGTAGAGTCACAAATTTTTTGTGATTTTCTACGAATTTTACGGAAGTTGACCATAGCGGGGTGTCGGGATATGATACAAATAATAAAATGCGCGTGCTTTTCATACAATGTTTTATGTCCAGCCAACGAACTCTAGATGACCTAAAATAACTGCAGCAAAGCAAAGACCGGACGCAGAGTAACACCAATTGCGGTATGCGCTCCAGTCAATCAGGAAGAATATTCTGGCAGAACCCTAATAAAGCGCGCTTAGGATGCTCTGACCGTGGTTCGCAAGGGGGGAGCGCCGATAAGCGCAGAGTTAATGAAGTGATGATTAGTGCATGGAGGGGCTGATTCCGAGAATAGGGTTAGTGACTCCAGTCCTTGTACGGGGCGTTCTTAAAGGCGATAGGAAGGCCGCGCGTGGGGCCTCGCGTTGGCGAACAGCGGAGGGAGGGAGTCCGAGAAGCGTCGGATTTCCAGTGGAACATTGACAACGCGCGAGAGCGAGAGCTGAACGAGAGGGAGGGAAGGGAAAGGAAAGGAAAGGAAGGAAGAGAGGAAGAAAGGGAAGGGAGGGTTGGAAGGAGAAGAGCAGGGTAGTCGCGGACTGTTGAGGGGCCGCGGTGATCTGCAATCTCTGCCCGCAGCGAGGGAGGTCGAGAGGATCGATTGATTGACTGATTGATGGGCCGGAGCACGCAGGGAGAAAAATTGCACTCGGGGGTCATGTTGCGAATTCGCGAAATGTTGCGGAGCAGAGGATTTAGGGGATAAGTTGGGGAGGTGGGACGAGGGAAGGGATCGGGAAAGAGGAGGCAATAGAGATTGGAAGGAAGAGGCAGAGGACTGGCAGTGAGGAGGGCGACGTCGAAACCAGCGAGGAGGGGAGGAAGAGGAGCAACAGGGGTCTAGAGTATGGGAGAGGAGGGGACGAGGATAGTTGCGGAGGCGAAGAGGAAGTAGCAGGCGAGGTGCGGCGGGAAGCCGCGATGAAAGGAGGCGATGTCATGTCTTGGCCCGGCGTGGGACAAGCCGCTGCAGCCCCGACGCCGGTGCTCACTAGTAATGGGAGTAGCACTCCGGGACCCCGCGAGAGGGAAGCGAGTGCTGCTGCGGATGTGGGGCGGCAGCAGCAGACGAGGTTGAAGCGACGACCCTCATCTTCGTCTCTCGGCGATGCTAGTAGTGGAATGCCGATGTCCAGCTCGTCGCAACCTGCGAATTCCGCCTCTCCGCGGCGGAATTTGGGTGGCAAGGATGCGCTGTCTTACGCAGCCATTCTGCGGTCCAGGAACAAATTTGCGGATGCTCTGGCTCTGTACGACAGTGTATTGGAGGCCGAGCCTAGGAATGTGGACGCCCACGTAGGTAGAGGTATATGCTTGCAAATGCAGGGACATTCTCGGCAAGCGTTCGATAGTTTTGCCGACGCTCTCCGGTTGGATCAGCAGAATGCGTGTGCACTCACTCATTGTGGAATTTTGTATAAGGAAGAGGGGCATTTACTCGAAGCTGCCGAGGTGGGTGCAATTTACGCTTGCGTTAGTATCTCAGTTAGGGATGTTCATGTTCTATGCTGCATTTAGACATTTTGCTGCTGTAAACTACCTGGCCGCTCAAAGGTCTTCCCGACGCGCTTTCCTTTATATCTGGGACGTGAGGTGTGTCTCTTGCAAGGAGAACGAATTTAGCGCGGTTCATCTGGTTCTAGCAACTGAGTAAAATCGTGCTGGAGGCTTGTTGGAGGAGCCCATGTAGATACTTAGGATCCTCTCCCAACATGTAAGATTTATTTTTTTTCTGAATTTTTTCAATATATTGTCACGAACTTATTTACAACCGCCGATGCGTCGCGTAGGGTAAAAAATGCTTCGCCCAATTTGTCGTTATTTTTTCCTTTGTGTGCATTCTCAACAGTTCTCCTTCATATTGTCAGTATTGAGCCAGGATACACTGGGGTCGTTTTGCCCGATTATTTCAGTTTGATTTGTTGTACTGGACCATAGACGTTCTCTTGTTCGTGAGAACACATCACGAGGGAATTCTGGCACGTGTCTCTTGGCTATCAGTCGGTCTGCTTCGATGGAAGCTGGATTTGAATACCTTATAGAAAAGTTGGGAGGATGTTCCTGTTATCACCGCTCATTTCGATCATGTACTCCACGGTTTAAAATTCCAAATTGTGAGCATTGACGTGAGATATATAATCAAAGTTGGCCCTCTGTAAGTACGTTACAGTACTTGGCAGTTGTTTCTCTAAGGCATCAAGCGAAGGTACCTCACCAAGGTTTTGGCGAATCAGTTGCTGTCAGCTACTTTAGCGAAGATGACGGCGGAAAGTTGTTCTAGAGCCTCCCTGCATGATGAGTACTACAGATGACAGTCCTGATTCAGGAGATATTAAGCCAGCTGTTTAGCGTAACTAGTCTTTTGTGATCGATGGGAGGGAAGCCGTATATGAAAGAGGAGGATTCTTGCTGGCATCTCAGAAATTGATTGGGTCCGATAAGTAAGTACACAGTGAACATGTCCCGCAGTTTGTTTTTCTGTCATGTTGACGTGTGAATGTTTCGGTTATGATGCAGGCATATCACAAGGCTTTGCAGGCAGATCCAAGTTACAAGGCTGCCTCAGAAAATCTCGCCATTGTTCTAACAGACTTGGGAACCAGTCTGAAGCTTTCTGGAAACGTTCAAGAAGGCTTACAAAAGTATTACGATGCTCTGAAGGCGGACAGTCGATATGCGGTAATGTTCTGCGTTTGATGTCATAACAATGAGTTGCAATGGAGCTGGGTATGTTGGCATGTTGGGGTTGTATGGTGATTTGAATGGAGAAATTATCTGCTGGCAAGATAGGCCCGGACTGACGAAGTTGTGCTTGTTCTCGATTTAGAACGCCAAGTGTTGCTCAAGGCTTTTGCTAAGAAAATTTCCTAAGCCTATCTACCTCGTGCCTCGTGGTTTTCTGTGTCATCAGCCAGCTTATTATAATTTAGGTGTCGTATACTCGGAGATGATGCAGTATGATACTGCATTAAAATGCTATGAGAATGCGGCTCAGCACAGGCCCATGTACGCGGAAGCCTATTGTAATATGGGTGTTATCTACAAAAATCGAGGTGATCTCGATTCAGCCATTGCTTGCTATGAGAGGTACTTTCGAGACCCGCATCTCTCTTCTGAAGTTTTTTAACAAGATAAAGCTACTGATGAAGTTTGAGAGTGGACCATGAGTACAAGCTAATATCTGCTATGTGTGCCATCGATATGGACTCGTGCTGTTCTTCACAGGTGTCTAGCAGTATCACCTAACTTCGAAATTGCGAAGAACAACATGGCCATTGCTCTTACAGATCTCGGTACAAAGGTAATCTCACTCCCGCAATTGATTTAACCCTGTATGTCGCTAACAGTTATCAGATTATGCACTAGCCTGGTGCCTGGTATTTGCGCTGTGTGTCAACCATGGATGTTTCTTGTTTTCGTGATTCGGCGTTATCCTGATTACAGTTTTTCTTTGGTGACTGGTAGATGAGTCCGAGAGATCGTACTGTATTAACAGAAGTTAACAGATCAAACTGTATTAACAGAAAAGTAAAGGCTGCGAGTGATAGATGCTTTTTTTCTGAAAGTGCAGGTCAAGCTTGAAGGCGATATTCACCAGGGTGTTGCCTATTATAAAAAAGCTTTGCTATACAACTGGCACTATGCCGATGCCATGTACAATTTAGGCGTTGCCTACGGGGAGATGCTTAAATTTGACATGGTCAGCACTAATACATTTCAATATCTCTTGGGATGGTATCTGTTGTACGCATGTCAAGTAGAAGCTCCTCAATTGTTTTGTTTCGCCAAATGTCGGAAACGTCATCTTTTGACAAATATATCACACATGCTGTCTCATGGACCTTCCGCATTTTTTTTGATTGTTTATGTATTGACGGGTCTCGTGCACGTCTAATGTTTTAGTTGAGAATCTACTTTGAGCAGAAAAGCACTGCTAATTTTGAGTGAGCCCGGGCCAGCTTGCTTATCGCCGTTTCTGAACGTGCCCATTTGCAAGTTTCTAAACGGCGCGCTGGTTTTAAGTGCTGCTGAACTAACACGTACTTTTATGAGCATTGCGACTGCAGGCAGTTGTTATGTATGAGCTGGCGCTGCATTTTAATCCTCACTGCGCTGAGGCCTGCAACAACTTAGGAGTTATCTACAAGGACCGAGACAATCTCGATCGTGCCGTCGATTGCTACCAGGTTTGTCAGTCATGTTCCTTTTAACAGTGGTAGAGGAATGCAGCTTGTCCCCAAACTTCGTGAGTATCGTGTCATGACATGTTCACGATACTACTAAATTTATCTGGTACATCTTTATTGGCTCCTATTCTGCCGTCTTTCTCCTCTTTGGGATGTCAAGGTTTCGTTAGTGTGATTTAAGCCTTTAGTTTTATCATCGTGGAAGCTTGAGGTTACTCGTGTCGAAATGACTCTGACTGTTTTACTTGGGAACGACAACTTGTTCAAACAGATGGCGTTATCAATTAAGCCCAACTTCTCTCAGTCTTTGAACAACCTCGGGGTTGTCTATACCGTGCAGGTAACCAAATAGTACCCGCAGTCTCTTTATGAATATTTTTTTTGCCACAAATTAATGTTAACTAGTCTTACATTAGTTAAAAGTTTCTATTTTTGCTGCTTTTGCGACAGGGTAAAATGGATCAAGCAGCTGGCATGATCGAGAAAGCCATACTGGCTAACCCTACTTATGCAGAGGCATACAACAATCTCGGTACTCTTTTCTGTTGCGAATTCCAAGTTCATCTGGTGGAAGTCACTTTGCATCAGTGTTCTGTCAAAGTAGCCTGAGCTTTTCAAAAGCTTTAAGTGGTCAGTTGTCATGCGCAGGCATCTTCTATGGACTGTTCTTATTAGACTGTTTATTTTTGGAAGCAACGGCAGCTTCTTTACTTCCTTGTCTTGTTATATATGTTGATCGATGCCACGTTATGGGAGATTAAAGCGCAGCGTTTCCGTTTTTGTGGCTACCGTCCAGAGGAGCGGTCGCCTTTGATTATCTAATCGAGTTGTACATTAATTGAATTGTGATGGACACGCAGGCGTTTTGCACAGGGACGCTGGCAGTATTCCTCTCGCTATTGATGCTTATGAACGCTGCTTGCTTATCGATCCCGATTCTCGGAATGCTGGGCAGGTAAAGCACTCATCAAATGGAGGATTTTTGTGGATCGTGTGGACGCTAACTGTTTGCCGAGTTATTCTCTTACTTCACCACAATATGAAGCAAATATTGATCACTCATGGTTGTGCTTCTTTCATGCACGGAGTACAAAGCTTCGTCCTTTCGAACTTACGGAGCTGTTAACGGAAATGCTTAGACCTGATTTAAACCTCGAAGGAGCCGTACTTTTGAGTCGTAACCTTCACTATCTCATCTGGCGGATGAGGTAGTCATTTTTGAGCCTTTACGATTTTTCATTAGCCAACGGCAGGTCTCGGTTGACGGGAATAATTGTCTCCAATATTTTAGAACTCCACAAGTTACTTTGCTTTCTGTCACGGTGGTTCAGGCGAATCACTGCATGTATGGGGTGCTCTATTCAGGAAAGCTGGTTATTCAATGATGACCTCTTTTTGTGCAGAATCGGCTACTCGCAATGAACTACATTTACGAAGGGGAAGATGACAAGCTGTATATCGCCCATAGGTATAAGCTTGTCACGTAAGCTTTTAGGGGTATCGATCAATAATGATAGATGTACCAATCACGCCTGCGATCTTTTTTCATTTCCTTTGCACTTATTTCCTTCGGATGTTTGCTTGGGTCATTTCCTCTGAATCGTGTTTCTTTTTTGTCCCCAGGGATTGGGGTAAACGTTTCAACAGGCTCTATCCTGAGTTCACTACCTGGGACAACTCGAAGGAACGAGATCGTCCCCTGACTATAGGATATGTTTCGCCTGATTACTTCACTCATTCAGTGTCATATTTTATCGAAGCTCCCCTCGTTCATCATAACTATACGAACTTTCGTGTTGTCGTCTACTGCGCTGTAGTCAAGGTGCGCATTTGCGAACGCTATCAGAATCTTGAAAAAGGATCACCTGTTTTCCAAGATATGCAGCTGCTCTGATTTGATGTAATAAGATCCTATGTTGATAGTAATTGTTGAAAGTGCATTCTTTTTGTCTTAGGCGGACGCTAAAACGCATCGGTTCAGGGACACCGTACTCAAAAGGGGTGGAGTATGGAGGGACATATACGGGGTCGATGAGAAGAAGGTAGCAAGCTTAGTGAGGGAGGACAAGGTCGATATACTTGTTGAGCTCACGGGGCATACTGCCAACAATAGGCTTGGTGTGATGGCTTGTCGACCTGCCCCTGTACAGGTGAGGCGGGCTCCGTAGTCAATTAATTTTTTGTTATCAAGTATTTTCTTTATAAGAAGGTGCTTGGAGAGGTGGCAGTAAAAGTGTTATTTTTGAAGAGCTAACTTTGTGGGTCACGCGTCTCTACCTTTAGCAGTGTCGAATTGATTTTATGGAAGTGTAGCAGGTGTCCTCATTGAGTCTTATATTCAATCAAGTTTTAAGGTGATGTTGTGTGTCTCTGTCGTTTTATCTTCTCCTGTCAACGGTCAGGAATCTGTCGATACTAACGCTGTGTAGGAGTAGATATAAAGTTTTCTAGTCTGACGGTTTCACTACCTCGTGCAGGCAACATGGATAGGCTATCCAAATAGCACAGGGTTACCAACGATAGATTATCGATTCACTGATGCTTTAGCTGATCCACTTAACACCAAGCAAAAGTAAGAGCTGAGGGGCAAGCACGTATACTTTTTCTCATCATCATCCTTTCATCAATAAGTTCATCTGATTTGGAGTTTTCTTCATGACAAATGTCATGATTTACGTGGGAAGTCTTCGTATTTGAGCGCCGCTTACATCCTGTCGTGCAGGCATGTCGAGGAGCTTGTAAGGCTACCAGGGTCTTTTTTGTGTTATACACCATCAGCGGAGACGGGTCCAGTTGTACAGACACCGGCTATAAGCAATGGTTTCATCACTTTTGGTAGTTTCAACAATCTTGCAAAGGTGTGTGCTTTCTTTGCTTTATTGAAGATATTATCGGATAAATGTAAGATTCATATTGTGAAATTTAGCAAGAGGACAATGAGGAAACGCATGGAGTCATCCATGGCAAGACGATGGTCATACGTGGATGTAGTGACGCCCAATTTAAGAACGGTACTTCCGGTGGGGTGCTAACGAGATTGTGAATCTGAATATAGATGACTTAAATGTGGTCAACTGAGCACTGAAACTGTTACTTTTTTCTGCTGAATGTCCAGTTTCAAAACTACAACATTTTTCTCCTAATCTGCCGTCTAGGCGAGATGGCCCTCCAACATCTGCTACAGGACGTCAGGCCCTTACAGTGGGTTTGTTTTATTAACTACTAGTTGGGACCATATCATTTAATGAACAATGAGCCTAGTTAAGCTTCGACCCCACAGCGAGTGCTGGTACTTTAGCGTAATCGATTCTTGTTGGAGAGCAAAGTCAGCTCAATCTCTTCAAGTTAACCTTCAAGATTGCAGGAGATCGGCTGTGTAGGCACTAAAAACCTCTACGCGGAGTGTAGTGAGTGAACCTTCTGGCTCGTTATTCACTGTAGCACTGGGTATATTGAGGACAGTTTAAGGAAGGGGAAGTAGTACGGGTTAGCAGACCTGGATTGAATGGATTAAGGCAGGAGGGAAGAAGGAATGATGCTTTTTGGTTATCACGTCGTATAATACCAGTGGCGAGAACACTGATCTCAATGAGAGCAACAATTTACATCAAAGGGAACAACGCTTCAAGGTAAGAATATGTTCTCGAACGTCGTAGTAGCAGTTACGATCTATTGAGTAACGAGAGGCGTTTTATGTGAGTAGGGTGGGGCTGAAGGGATGTCGCATGTATTCGGGTTCTTCTCAACCTTTAACTCATTCATATATCGCTCCATATCCGTTAACGGGAGGAACGGGCTCGCTTACAGGGGTCCTTCATCGATCAGAGGGATGGTGTTCTTCTTCATTGAAGTTGTTAGGTGATACACGTGTTTGGAAGAATAGCTTAGAAGGCTGGGAAGATGAGCTTCGAGAATCCTAGTTGAGAAGTTGGGGTTGGGTTCATATGCAGGATTATATTATCTATATGCGAAAGGGAGATTAGACTTGACTTGGAAGGAAGCCAAGGCGTTCAGTGTTAAAAGTTAAGACACACACCTCAAGAATCTGAAGCGACTGAATGATGAAATCTCCCATTCTTAAATTCACAGGAAGGTACAGATATAGCAAGATATTCTCAGACGGGAGATATCCATGCGTTCAGTTTTCTTCACATCTTGCGGTAGAGTTTGGAGCTGGTGTGTAGAAAGCGAACATCGAACAACGAGATCGATATGAAGCAAGTGAGCTGAAAGGTTTATGGCACATGGTCGGTGAAATACTGGAAGAAAAGTTACGAAAGGCCACGAGAGCCACTGGACTTTTGAAGTCCTGAGAGTCAAACATGAACCGAATGGTAAGCAGAGTTTATTAGGCAGTGGAGACCCGCTAGTTTAGAAGGTAGAAGCTTTCTTACAAGGCTTTCCTTTTATCGCGTTTAGAATTGTTGTCGAGGAGCCAGATTCCGATATATACCTGAGGGCTCGCGCACCTTGGACAACGCTCGATATTGAGGGTCAGTTCAGAAGCTCATTTCTGAACAGGAAGAAGAACTAACCAATATGTTGAGGTAGTCCTGGTAAGGTTGAAGACGCGAGAATATAGCCGTTTTTACTTCCATATTGAGATAGACATGATGAGGACATGAGATCATAATCGAAATGCAGCTGTCTTTGAGACAGTTAATTTTATGAAATCGATTGTTTGCCCTGCCTTCAGGTCTGGCGAGTAGTGTGTGAATTCCAATTGCTTTGTGGAAGTTTGTGTTCTCTTTAAAGTTTGTGTGTGGTCTTTATTGGTATATTACTCTGAAAGTGCCCGGTCAAATTCACCTACATTTTTTTTTTTCCTGTTCAAACACTCGCAGGAGTTTTACTTTTGTGCTTGCTATTGAGTAAGTAGATTTTTTCCTTAGCATTGGCTCCTCCTGGACATTATCTTCGTTCATTGGCCTTATTTACGGGCCTGGGGCTTCTAGAGAAAATTTTCTCTGACGCGTACTGACGTCTATGCAACCTGAGAAGCGCTCTGAAGAAGGCGCGTAAAATTTACCTTCTGCTCGTATTGTGACGTGAACTACTTCTCTACTCTAAACTTGCTCCCCTGGATATTTTGCAGATAACACCTCGAGTTCTGAGGGTGTGGGCGAGAATTCTCTGCGCTGTACCCTCGTCAAGACTGGTAGTGAAATGCAAGCCGTTCTGCTGTGATAGTGTACGAGAAGGTTTTCTTGCAAAGCTTGAAGAGTTGGGAGTAGAATCACTGCGGATTGATCTTCTTCCTTTGATTCTTCTCAATCATGACCACATGCAAGCGTATTCGTTGATGGATATCAGGTTTGTATTCGAGTCTTAAGGTAGTCCTGCAGTATATTATATCACCTAGAAATTGTTGCTGCACTCGGTAAATTGGGGGTCAAAAGTACACAGCGTATCTCTTTTATGTCAATTCTATTGTGCTTTTTGCCGATCAGTAGTGCTTGTTCCAGTTGTCCGTAACCTGCAAACTGGGAACAAATAAATTGCCGCATCTATGGTTTCATAGACCTCTGAGAAACTATGCTAATTATTGTTTCATGCTCTTTTATGTTGTCATCACAGCTTAGACACGTTTCCATATGCTGGTACTACCACAACCTGTGAATCTCTTTACATGGGAGTGCCATGTGTGACGATGGCTGGAAATGTGCATGCTCACAATGTCGGAGTCACTCTGCTACATCAAGTTGGTGCGTATCATGGACCACTAAGATCATTCCTTGTTTGAAAGTCATCAGTCGTTTCGCGCTTTCGAATGTTATAAACTATGTGGATTTTTTTGGGGCTTGGAGGGTAAGATGGGGAGTTGAGAGCTTGAGCTTGGGTTACAGTTCTTTGATATTTTTAAGGAAAGCTTCAGGTAACGAGGAAATTGACCCTTTGACTTCGGACATCATGCAGGCTTAGGGAGATTAGTTGCAAAGACGGAAGACGAGTACGTTAACAAATCCATTGATTTGGCATCAGACAGCAATATGCTGAATACGTTGCGGCTTGGATTGCGGGAGCGCATGCTCAAATCGCACCTTTGCGATGGACCGAATTTTGTGCGTGGTCTAGAAACGACATACCGAACACTGTGGAATCGATACTGTGACGGGGATATTCCCTCGGAAGCTAGGCGAAAAGCCGAGGCCGAGGCTGTTGCGCTTTTATCGGAAGCTTTGTTGTGTGATGATCGCGCGACTGCCAGTAGGTGCGCCAGCAGTAGTGGAGAGTTAACCACAGATATGAGTATGAAGGATGCAGTGTATGCAACACCTAATACGGTCAATGGTACTCCTGCTCCTTCGCCTACATCTACTCTCTCTACCACGGAGGGCAGTAGTATGGAAAATTCGAGGATCAAATCAGCTAAACGAAGTAGTAATGGCATGGCCAGTCCAGTTGGTGGCGGATCATGAACAATCCTGATGAAGTAGAACTCGTATAAAGTCATGTAATTGTACATTTCAATTACATAGACGTGTTATCTGTTGTCGGCTGAAGTGAACCTTCCAGCCGCAAGTATCTGTCGTTGCTGAGGAGCAGTGTGCCTGGAATGTCAGAGGTTCAGCGGTTCACGCCTCCCAAACATTCTTGCCAGGGATTTTTTTGGGCCTGGACGACGTCTTGCTACTCAACATGTTACAAACGCACTTCGAACTCAAATCGTGGTTGGGCTCTTACCCTCAGGTACGTCTATAGCGCCAGCTGTTTGTCAAAGAAACGTCTCCATTGAACTGCAGTAGGCAGGTCAAAGGGAACTGATTGGCGCTTCCTCTCGGGAAGAGGAGAGCTGAGCTCACTTGAAGGTTTCGAGGCCTAAAGAAGGTGATCATGTAAACCCGCGCGGGCTTAGTCCCTGTTTTACATGTTCTTATCACCAGTTGGGCCAGATTTTAATACCCTTTTGCCGAAGTTTATCCCATATTTCAGGTAGTGGGGTAGCTCCGTGGAGAGTGCCCCATGGCTTGAATTCAGCACGCTCCGAGAACTGAAGGAATATATTATCTGTCGGAGTAAGAGGATCCGTGTTTACGGCCATTGCTTGTGTGGATACGCAGAGGCAACCAAGTTTTGTGCACTGGAGATTTCTGTCTGGAAGAATATGAGATCTTCATCATGCCTTGAGTTTTTCGTTACCACCTGCGCTTGTCTTCTCTAATTGACTTGGTACATCTGGATCATAGTTTCTAAATGTGAGTTGAGGGTTACATGCCTCATGTGGTGAAGTAGATCTTCATGAGCCCGAGAACCGCGAGGATAATATATCCAGAGTTAGTAGAAGGAAATTCATTGGTTGGCTTCCTAATTTAACAAAACGATATTACTTGAAGCAATAATGAATTCTAACTCAATGTGGTATTTTTTTATCTCAAGATATTTATGCCTGAATCTCGTACGTAGTCTTCCACTACCTTTTTCAGGACGTGAAAAGAAGGGTCATGAAATCTGTCTTCATAAATATGTGATGCTGGCTGTGATTCTACGTGAGGTTGTGACATGCCTTTACGTGAGGGATAATTCAATACGAGCAGCAAAGCAGTTTGAATAATGACGAACCTCTGAAGTCTATCATTGTGACACTTAATCTAGACGGAGACTAGACAATTTCACGAAAGTTATCTTGAAATTTCAATTAACACGAAAACAAGGAACTCTGGTCTGCCTTCATCGAAGCTCAGTCCTTGAAACTGTCTTAAACGAAGAGTTTGAAGAAGGCTTTCAACGAACGATAGAATACTTTTCACTCTTCCACAGTGAGAGAGTTGTCACTTGTACATACGAGAACATTCAAGTAGTAGAGCGTTGAGTTGACTGAGTAGTCAAGATTCTTCTAATGTATCGAATTTCACGTAGAGCTTAGTCACATCAAGCCGTATTTCTCTTGAGCGAGGTGAAAACATGGTAATTTTCGATGGTAGCAATGAAAAGAATATTAGCCCAGAAGAATCTAAGTCTAATCTTGATAGAATAACGAATACCACATTGGAAGGAATTAGAATAATGAGTCGCACGGTCGAAGTGAAAACATGGCAATTATCGATGGTAGCAATGAAAAGAATATTAGCCCAAAAGAATCTAAGTCTAATCTTGATAGAATAACGAATACGACATTGGAAGGAATTAGAATAATGAGTCGCACGGTCGAAGGAATGAATCTGCAGGTATAATATGTGGAACATGGTATTGATAAGCATATGAAACACGATATACTAAGTAAGGTATGATTTTTCAAATTTCTTATCTTCACCTAAAGTACACCTGAACTCTTATAATACACCTCTGAATTGTTTACGTTTATCGTGTACTTTCTTTACCTTTTTTGTTCATACTAAATATGATCGTAGATAGACATACCTTTAAGTTTGAGGGATGTATGTCAGTGATATAGATTTACTGTATTCATTTTCATCTAATATCATTACAGAAATGACATGTTTTACTCCTTAAACATGCAGTTTGAGTTTCACGATTTTTTGAAGCTTTATATACTGCAAGTTCTTGCTCCATGAAACATGTAAGTTACATCCGAAAGATCTATATGTATATAGTTCGACCAAGAAATCAAAGATTTTGGGGAAGTGTTATGGATATGTATATCAATTAATTTATGACTTGGTTTGACTAATATATTTATCTTATCATTAGTCACATGTGGAATTTATATAATGCTAGATATAACGAGTGTCCATGACTCAATGTATCTTTGTAAGAAAGCTGATAGTTATCGATTTAGGGTGTATGTAATTTTTTTAGTTGATTCACATATATATGCAATGTTTTGTATGCTTTGCTATCCATTCCAAGAAATGTAAGTAATGTTTGTAGTACTAAATGAGTATGGAATTTATCGTGGGTACATATCTTATATATCTTTGTGTTTTTCCAGGGTCTAACTGACCATCTTCTTCGAATGTCAAATTTCAAAAACATAGATTTTCAAGTATTGAGGTATGTAAAAATCTATCATGATCGTTATGAAATATACTCTTTTCAGCTTTTTGTAAAGATTATTTTTTCTTCTCTCAATAGATAGCAAATTTGAGCAATTACAGATTATCACTCTCTTTAGTTCATTGAATAGACTTGATTTTTTCTAGATGTATATATAACTTGTATAACTCTATTATATCTTAGATTGGGTTGAACATACTTTGCATTTTGATGGCCTTCGATCCTAGCTCCATGGTTTGACTTTGGTTACATTGCCGTCGTGTTTTTCAACCGTATCATTAAATAAATATGATCTTATTTGGGACTACTAGGGAGCAAACATTGCTTCATACTTAGCACTTCAAAAATATAGCACAATCTGTCAATACCATCCTCTTTGCTGTATGCTTTACCTTGCACGAGGTTTGTTATACTACTTGTTGTTACTCGGTCATAATGGAACTTTTCAACTGTGACTTACAAGGGTCTGATCAAATTATCCCACGTGCTGGGCCACGCATTTCATCCTCGGATGTCTGCAAGGGTGCGTCTGGTCTACGGCTGGAAGATCTCCTTGTTGGGACTTATTCAAGTTTACGATTACAACACTATTCAGTGTATCGGGAGTCGGCCCTTCTGCTGCCATGCTCTCCGACCTATCCTCTTGGAATTATGTGTCTTGGACTGTTGGATATGGACGAACGACCTTGCGAACCGGCCAGAACTTGGTCGAACGCAGACAGCGTCCAATAGTAATCTAACAATATTAATTAATTTATTCTCTCTCACCCACACCACTTTCAATCATTACCTGCTACACATCACATCAAAAGCTACGCAAATATTGACATTAATAGTTACCATATCTTAATTAGAATAAAATACACTTCCCATGCTAATGCTATGGGAGTCTAGTCCAGTCTCCCTCCGCTTGTGTCATTCATGCAGGAATTTGTACATTTCTTGTTAGTTTATTTATTTTGTTCCTTCCGTGTATCGCTCAGAACACTTTATGCTAGGCTGGAGTTGTAGTAGAAGAAACTCATAACGGTAATCATAGAGTCCAGGATTCATGTGTCTATCCTTCTCAAAATCGGCGGGCTTATGTTACGGACGTACGAGTGTATTTTTCCTCAAATCGTTCGCTATTTGTGGTTAAACACATGCCAAGGAATATATGACGTTAAGGAATGTACGGGACAAAAGACAAATTTGTAATCTACGAAGAATGACTAGTTGAACGCCCTAAACTAACCAAACCTAGACAATACATATGTCACGTCAACAATAAAAAAAATTCAAGCTAGAATCTGGTGGTTCTGATATACTTTTTGGTGTGATTTTGATCAAGGACATGAAGTGAAACAAATTACTTGTTTACTTTTAAGTTAACTATATTTTGAATTTATTTCATTATTAGCGATAACCATAGTTAGGAAAATTAAATGTGGTTAGATTAGCTAAGATGTGCATATTATCTATTCCGATATAGAAGATAGAAGTAACTATTCATTAAATATTGTTTAGAGTTGCACTTTGAGAGTGAGCATTGAGAAGTAGAGTTTGGCTATGGACGCCATGTATACACTTATGTTTTAGTAAAGTTTTTATTCTTGTGGACGTAGTCTGTGGAAAATGAATCACGTTATCTAGATGTTGTGATTGTCGTGCATGCTGATAGATTTTGATTGTTGGGCCTTACAATTGGTATGAGAGTTAGTTCAATGCACGCGTATTTCTGATTTCCATAGTTTTCTTAGAGACCAAGTAGCAAAAAAGCGTTGTCAAAATTTATACTTGCAACTTGAAGTAATTATTGGCTAATTCTATATAGAAGAGTAGAGAGAGACGATGATTACTTTTTGTTGAAAGAACTGAATTGTTTCATAGAGTAATCACATATATTCTTAGAATCTGAAGCTGTTGAGATCTATTACACTTCAATGTTAAAAAAAAAACTGCTTTGATTTTCCAAAATCTGAATTTTTCATCCTGTATTTCATGATTTTGCATATATAGATTTGACCTACTCTCTAAAGCTATAGTTTTGATCTACATTTTGATCAAATTTTGTTGAGAGATTGTAAAGTTATGGCCGTTTGAAGGTTGGAGTCAAGTTCGGCTATGGTGATCTCACGGTGAACAGAGACGCAAATTAGAAGCAAAAAATTGCGGAAATTAGGATTTGAGTAAATTTTGAGCGGGAGGCAAGCGACACGGACGAGCTTCAAATTACTCGGACTGGGAAGATCAAAGAAGTGGTCACTCGTTCCATAGGAAAAAATGCTTCCTATGAAGAATGTTGGCAAAAAAGAATCAAACAGAGAAAGTGTGTTTTGGCAATTTTGGTAGATTAGATCAAGCAAACTACATATGTTTGAGTTCAATTTTTTCAGGGCGATTAAGAAAGTTGAGCTTGCAATACAAGAGACGATTTTGAAAACAAATGTGTAAATGGTTGGTACGAAATATTTCATTGGGTGCTCTAGATTCAAATTTTTACTTCTTTGACTTTGGAATGAAGTGAAGTGATTTTAAGACACCATTTTCACATTACAGTGTACTATCTTGTGGGCTATGCATGGATGATGTTAGATTTTAAATCTAAAAATTTTCAATTTTTGACAATTTTTGAGTTGAAGTGTTGAGAATTGTTAACACTGTGAGCATTATCTATGCACGAGTAGCTTGGAGCAAGGAGTGGAACTTCTTCCAATTGTTGCGGAAGATGCTAAATTCTTGCATTCAGACGATAAAAGTGAGAATTCAAGTTTTCGTTCTGAGGCTACTATTCAGGTCATTTCAGAACGTCTTCAAATTGGGAATCGACTGATCAAATCTATGGCGCTATCTAAGATTGATAGACCGAGGATAAAATTGAACGTTTTTATTAAAATTGAACATTATTTATTTAAATAGTCGTTACTATCACATGAACGACTATTTTCTATGGAAACGGCAAATCAAGAATGTTATCAAGGCAATGGGCTTGGGAAGATTTTCAAACCAAAATTCCTGAATGTTGATGACAAGGATTATTAGGACTTGTCATAAAGTATTACACCAATAACACTCTTATGTGATGAAAAATACCTTGTCATTATAACCGAATTCACTGGAAGGGGCTACTGAGTAGAGAAAATACTAAAAAAACCACATTACATTCAGACTTACATGTGATATATTTTATTTCCGCCATTGGAATAACAACACTACTTAAGAATTGCAAAAATCTATTTCTACCCTCACTTCTTTCTCGATGGGGTAACACCTTGCTGTCATCAAGGTGTGCTACCTCCCGTCTGGAAATAATCACCAAATATTACTCTCAACCTTCTAGACTATGTCTCACAGCTACCCTACGAGGAAAGTCCAGGACTTCTCTAGAGTACACAAGGAAAGCTGGCGGCTAGAAATCTACATGCGTCACACGAGGAAAGTATCACTAATTTGCGTCTCATA